GGGATACGTGTTCTGTTATGTGTGCATCTTCCACTGGCTTAACGGCGAGCACCAGCGCCAACTGGATTTCATGACCGGTGAGGGCGCTGGCGCACCGTGGGAAGAGGAGATCACAGGTGACGACGAAGAAACGAAAAAGAGTTCTAATGGAGATGACGCCGAAGAAGGCCCCCGCAAACGATCTGGTAAATGGGAGAGTGGCAAGGGGAGATGTCCTGTCACCGGGAGGAGAGTGCTTGGAGGCACTGATGGATTAAGAAGGGTGTTGGTTTGATCTGGGGTTGCGTAGTCCCCATTTTCGATCTATTAATCGTTACTCACTCATTGTACCGCATACTGCTTCGGATTGGAGGTTGAAAGGGTACATTGCTCGAATTGTATATATGAAAGCAACAACAGAAATCCTGCAGAAATCCTGCAGAAATCCTGCTTCCTGTCCTGTGACTCCCATTTCAGATACTATCTAGGCCATCTAATCATCAGGTCAAATCATTTAAGACAACCAAATATAGGTGTTCCTCATCCCAGAATAAATCATTGGAATAATACAAAGCTAGATCCATAGTCCGACACTATTTTTAGCGATGACGTTGTAACGACTCTTAGCCCGCTCACTCAGACACTACTTCATGTACTAGGCCACTTCTTATCTCTATGTTAACTCACTTGGCAGCCATGTAGCATTATATCTACGGGTAATATGTTCTAGTACCTGCACATATATGTAGACAGGACGTAGGTAGACTCCGGGTTCAATTTAAGCACGAATCTCAAACCAAAAACTGTATGTAACTTAGTTCACGGGTGTATCCATGCACCTAGACGTCTCCGTAAAACCCTCTTTAACAGTTCGAGGAGATTATATGTCTACATGTCGAGTTCCAATGGACTTAGGAAATTAGGTTACACTCAGACCACAAATATCTAAAGAACTTTGCCCCATAATACTATTTACTCCACTACCTTTTGATGGCCCTTCGTTTTCACTGCTCCTATGATTCAATGAGCTACAACTACTACCCATTGGGTATGACAATTTGTATGGATTTGATTGAATGCGATCAGTATAACCGGAATTGAGACCCGAAATCAAGCTCGTGGTTGGCAACAATGTTCAATGCAAGGGCCTGCTGTTTTCAACAACATGGGAGGAATGCGAGCACGGGGTGGCTTGGCAACTATGCAGGAGTTTAGCAATCTGGTTATAAGAATGACAGGGAGGGATGTGACAGACGCGACTTTGGCAGGAAAAGTCTGTCGTTTTAATACCAGGATCACACACCAATTCGAAAAAAATGACACTTACGAAGTCGCTGCTTCTGAGTTTAATGAGCGCTGTTGCCCTTAGTCGGGCAGCTAAGGTTCATTATGATCTCGACCTCACCTGGAAAAGGGGCTCACCCAACGGACACGAAAGAGAGATGATCTTTGTGAATGATCATTTCCCAGGCCCACCATTGATTCTGGATGAAGGAGATGAAGTCACAGTAGGTCTGATCCGGCATTCCCCCCCGATTCGTGCTAAGAAAACTAGATAGATGTGACCAACAACTTGCCATTCAACACATCGGTCCATTTCCATGGCATTGAGTAAGGCCCCTGGCAATATCACTCCCAGAGAACTGCACAAAACTGAACTACCCCAGACAGACCAACACCCCATGGGCGGACGGAGTATCAGGTCTATCGCAATGGGCTATCAAGCCTGGTGACAAATACCAGTACCGGTGGAAAGCCACGACTTATGGTACATACTGGTACCATGCCCACGACAAAGACAGAATAATGGACGGTCTCTACGGTGGCATTCGTATCCGGTGAGTGTGCAGAATAATGTCTTTGTTGCGGTTCTAATAAGAGAATTAGTCCGTCTGCCGACCAGGAATCGCCTTTCTCAATGATCTCTGATGACCCTGCCGATATCGAGGCCATGACCAAAGCCGCTCATGATGCTCAGTTGGTTATGATGTCTGACTGGGACCACTTGCCGTCCAATGAGTATATGGATGCTCTCAGAGACACAGGCTATGATATCTTGTAAGGGCCCAAATATGGTAAGCAAAGGACGGCGCTCACAGTCACTAGTTGCTCGGATAGTATCCTCGTCAATGGCGCAGGTTCCGTATACTGCAAAGACCCCGATTATCTGACAAGCCTCCAGCCGCCACAGGTCAGAGCAATCATAACTGAGCCGTTGACGGATAAGGGGTGAGTCTATTCCTTGCTCCACTGGGTTGAATGTCACTAACATCCACCAGATGTGATCCATTCATGCCAGTTCTTCAGGGTAACTGGGAGCACCACCCAGAGAAGCTTCCTGAGGGATTGAACTCTGGGTGTATTCCCAGTGAGGGTCCGAACTCAGTCTTTGAAGTGACACCTGCCGATCGATGGGCCAGTTTCAACTTCGTCAGTGCAGCAAGTCTCAAATCATTAATTTTCTCCATTGATGAGCACCCGATGTACATCTACGAGGTAGACGGACGTTACATTGAGCCCCAGCTTGCCCATAAAGTTTCTATTTACAGCGGAGAGCGTTACTCTGCGATGATCAAGTTGGACAAGGAGCCTGCAAGGTATACCATCCGTGTTGCTGGTCATGACAACCAGGTGATCTCTGGCTACGCCACTCTCGCTTACAAGGGCGGCGAGCAAAACCAGCGGGAATCAACGGCATACATAGACTATGGTGGTAGCAACACCACAGCCTCTGTGATCGACTTGAAGACAACTAACCTGCCGCCATATCCTCCCATTCTACCTGCGGAGGATGGCGATGATTTCCATCTTCTAACCCTTGGGCGGATTAACTCATCCTGGGAATGGACTTTGGATGGAACATCCTTCCTACCAGCCAACCTCAATCAAATGGAACCAGTCATTCTCAACCCGAAAGCACCCGGACTTGATTCTGCCCTCAAGATTGAGACACTGAATGGCACCTGGGTAGACATTGTGTTCCAACTTGCCATCCCAGAGCCAACCAAGCTGCAGCCACCACACCCAATGCACAAGCATTCCAACAAGGCATTTGTGATTGGTAGTGCAATGGGAAAGTTCACATGGGGCTCTATCAAAGAAGCGAAAAAGAGCAGCCCGGCCAGCTTCTTCAAAACGCCTGTATACCGCGACACGTTTGTGACCGCGCCGAATGGAGAAGCCTGGATTGCTATTCGCTACCAGGTTGTGAACCCAGGGCCATTCCTCTTGCATTGCCATATGGAGACGCATTTCATGTCGGGGATGGGAATGGTCTTGCTAGATGGTGTCGATGCCTGGCCCGATGTTCCTGCCCACTATCTATAGATTCCCTGGCTTGTATTCTGCAATTTACTATCCTGTCTTCCATATATGTGCTCTTTTCTATCTGGCTTGTTAAATATAATCATTTGATACCGTTCAACCTGCTCTGTGGTGCTCGAGCTGTTCCTGATAGACTTTCGACGCTCACTCTCTGAAGATACACTCCGCGATAAAGCAGTCGTTAGAACTCTAGGTGTATACAGTAGCGACCGGTATCACTTTTCATGTCAAGAACAGAGAGATGCTATTGCAAACCATAATCACAAGATATGAATAGCGCGTAAATATTTCGTTTTATAGCTAACCAGAAGCTTAAGTTGCCAGTATGGAGGATACAGGGCGTAGAACTAAATACCTGGACTGGCTGGAAGGTTTGACGCAGATTCAGCAAACATAGGGACTTTTGAACACGATCGGATTGGTATGCGCTTTACCTCTAGAGATGGCAGCCGCAAAGCTCATGTTGGACGCAATACACCCGAGTCTACCTCGCCCGCCGACAGACCAAAACACATATATTCTAGGAAATATCGGGGAACACAACATCGTCATTGCCTGTTTACTAAGTGACGTATATGGAATTACATCAGCTGTAATAGTGGCAATGCAGTTACTCTCGAGTTTCCATTCCATCTGGTTCGGTCTGATGGTCGGTATCGGCGGGGGTGTCCTAAGCAGTAACGCAGACGTTCGACTTAGCCAGCGGACATATCTGGAGGCGTGATATAATATGATTTTAGTAAAAGCACTAAGCGGCGGTCAATTCCAGCGAACTGGGATGCTTAATCGGCCACCTAAGGTCCTGCTGATTGCCCTCGCCACGTTCTAAGCCCACCCACCACTTCACAGAAGATAGGTGAGTCCTTAAATTCGTCTCTAACTCCCGAGATAAAACGATGCCGCGGATAGCCGTAAATTTTACACGACTAAAGGCAACTTTCCATACTAAACAGAACCACGGAGTATCTGATATATGTATTAATTGGGAGCGATCTAAGCTCATTCCGCGGCCTCCACGAGACTATAAAGAACCGGTGATCCACTATGGACTATCTATAAATCAGGTAGTGAAAGATGGTAAACAGCGAGATTAGCTGGCTTAGGATCTATGTACTATGTAAAGGATATGCCCAGGCGCACATTTTCTCACTCGGTCAAAAGACCATTATATCAGAGCACATGCAGAGCACATGCTCTGATATGCCCGGGACCAATATATATATTATGCACATAGTTATCCGTGACAGGATAGTATAAATTGCCAGAATAGTGGATACAGAAATACAGAGAGTTGAGAGAGTTGGATACCATTGATTGGACTACATTTCATAATACGGATTACTACAACACCAACGAATAGCCTCATAAGACGATATAAGAGTTGAGGAAGAGTTGAAAAGGAGTCAGAGAAGAGGTAGATAGGATCTTAAGAATGAGATAAGACTGAGAGAAGAGTCAAGGAAGAGCTAAGAGGCGAAGAAGCGCAGCGATATTTTGGAGACATAAAATTGATGGAGGCCGAAGCCTAAAAGGGAGCGGCTTCCTCAACCATTATTTTAACTCGACTCTTCATTCAATCTTCGAATCTTTGCTACATCTTCGACACTTCTCTACATTTTCTCTGACGCTGTTTCAACGCTTCCTCTACTCTCGTCTTCAGACCTGCTTTTCTGTGACAGCTTCTAGACACATTCGTAATGTCGTCTACGTCTTCAGTCGCATCCTCGGCCTTCAGTAGGGCCAGTGCCCACGCACTCAGCTTCTCTTCCGCTTCCTCTGCTTCCTCTCCGTTTAGCGGAGCTTCGCATGTTGATCACCGTGGCTTTCTTAAGTCCTCCTGTCGTGCGGGTGGGCCAGTCCTGACTTCTCTCCCGGCGTGGACGACAGAGAACACATTTACCGACAATCCAGTGCAGACTCACGACCGTGCGATAAAAATACTGGATGATCTCGAAATCAGGTTCTCCGTTGTGGTTCTGAAGGGCCGCATATCAAAAGTTGACCCTGAGCATACGCCAATTCCCACCGTGCTTGTCCTTATGCCAGACCACCCGCAGCCTGATCTCTGGTATCAGGCTGCTAAACAGATCCACCGCGATTTGGAGCCCAGCCTACCTGGAATATCCGTCGAGATTATCGAAGAGAAGTTATACGACGGACTGCATTGTTTCCCCGTTGAGCGGACCCACTCCATTTATTCTAAATGGAAGAAAATTGCTGAAACTATTCTGATGAACGTCAATATTCGGGAGTGGACAGGTCTGGAGTGCTGGCGGTATGGAACCAATACCGCTGGACACCTAAACCCTGTCACTATAATAGTGGAGGTTGATAAGACGTCCACCGGGTCTTTTCTCACCGCAGCTCAGCTCATTCGGGGCATACTTGCCCACTTTAGTGAATCGAGCGCTGATGTCCTGTTCATGAAGGACGGGAAGCAACCCCTGGTGGAAAATCTAACTATACATCGCGATGCTTGTAGTGGAGCTGTATATCCCGGTGTAAGCATCGGTATCCACGGTACTTCGGCCGGAACATACACACTGGGTGGTCTTGTCCAGCTCCAGCTGCCTAACGAATCGCGATGGCGCACCTATGGCCTAACTTGCTTCCACGCCGTTTGGCCCCCGGAAGAGAATCGCTCGCAACAAATGCTACAAATTGTAGGAGCAGAAACCGGTAAGTGAGGCTCTCCTATTTATAATTTCCCAGCTAATATGGTGATTATAGCGCTTTCGAACTGGGAGTACGGCCCTCTTAGACTCGAACTCCCACCCTCCGCCATTGCCAGACAGATATTGAGAGTTGATCATCCATCTTTGAGAGACCTCCGACGTACTATTACCTCGATAGATGATAATATCGAAAGCTCTAGGACCAAAGAATTTCTCGAGCTAGAAGTAACCCAAAGGGCAATTGATGAGGGGGAAGACTTATGGATGCCAGAATCCGCCTCCAGACGTTACAAAGCAGTAGCCAGACATATCAGAACCCTCCAAGCCGCGCGCCAACCCTTTGTAGCGATGTACGACAATCGAACTTACTTCCTGGGGTATGTTGCTGCTGGAAGCGGCGTGTATCGGACCCGAACGAACGATGTAGGTCAAACAGTCAGTATGGACTGGGCCTTGGTTGACATCGCTCCCGGCCGAATCCAGGCACAGATGCATGGCGACGAGGTTGACGGTAACCGGGTAAGATTAAATGGGTTACCCAGGATTTTTATTTCGTAGCTAATGCATGGTCCTTCTAGCCTTTCCATCGTGATTCCACTGCCTTCACTCCGCCCTCTGAATTCCTCTTCAACCCCCAGCTGCAGGCTGATCCCCCAATGAATCTCTACAAGTCAGGACGCTCAACTGGAACCACTCATGGTTATTACAACGGTCTCGTGGCGGTGGGAATCTATCGTCGGAGAACGGCGAACGGGGGATTTGAAAAGGTCGTTACATGGGAGCATGCAATCGCGGGATCCGTTTCCCAGCCATTTGCAGAGCCCGGCGATTCTGGTTCGTGGGTGTATACGTCCACCGGCGAGGTCTTTGGGGTCTTGAACAGCGGCAACCGCCGGAAGAACACAATGTCGATATCCTGCATATTTGATATTTTTAAGGATATCAAGGAGCTCACTCACGCCGAAGTGAGGATTGCCCCGTGTCCACAGCTTCCCTGATCTGTGTCTTTTTTTCGAACTTCCCCACGGGCAGTACTAGGGCCTTGGGATCGAGAGTCTGTTGAAGAAGCAATGAATTAATGGAATGACGTGTTCTAGATAATGCATTAAATTGCTAGGATGATGATTTCTTTGAGTCTGAAGAGCATGATGAGTCTGGCTGGGAGGATGACGGTCCGACCAGCTGCAGGGACATTATCAATGACTGTGACTACGAATACTACTATTCAGACTAAGATCTAGAACAAGCTTGGTCCAATCACGAGAGGAGACAGCACCCGACTGTTGATCCTCATCCCCTACCCATCATGATCTGATAAACGAATGGTGATACGAGAAGTAGAGCGTTCGGAACCCTTTCGGTGTCAACAAGAAACCTGAGTGGTCAGCAAATACGGAAGCTTAAGTAACATGTCGTTGTCACTTTACCCGATCCAGAGTTTCACACGCCTCTGGTAAAGGCCTTTGACTTTAGCAGGACGGTCATGCTTATTATGGACGGTACGCTCTCGGAAGATTTCCTGGGGAAAGCTACTAGATCTGTAGATCCTGGATGGCATACCCAGAGGATTGTGAGCCCTATAGTTTTAGAAATTTCATACATTGATACATGTAATTATCAAGCTCTATATATCGTGCTTCTATAGGCCTAGGAAATAATTGATAATAAAGGATAGGGTGCTGAAATGAAAAGAAATATTAGAAAGAGGTAACTTGATACTTCTGTACCACAAGATCTCTGAAAAAGCGATCTACGTTGTGTTATACAGTAGTCCAATCAGATATAGCCCTAAATGTCCGTTAATGACCAATTGGCCGCTATTTACGGCGACGTCATGTGTGGAGACCTCCTCTTTGAACTTCATAACATCGCCTTTGACCTGAAATCACCTGGATATGCAGCTTATCAGACTGTGTCTTGAGTTGATTTGAGCCTTCTGAGCTATGGAAAGCTTTGATGATGTTTCTCTCATCGGACTAGTGTCCCAGGAAGCACCTTTCCACGATGAACATCTCCCGATTCCATCCGGCCCGTCAGACCCGAATTTGGCCAAACAAGACACCACAGCGGGACCAAATTCGACCCAAGCGACAGGCATCAGACCCTCTTCGCGAATAGAGCGCACCGATGATGCTGGAATAATAGACGATATCTCAGTCGTGTCGGAATTCCCGTTGGCTTACAACCCACCGCCTGGAGCTCGGATTGAGGTGGAAGAAGAAGGGGATGGGGAAGATGAGGAGCCACAGGTAGCAACCTCCTTCGAGCGAGAGGCTTCACCAACTTTTGCACAGAAGCACCGATCAGCTTTAGACAACTTGGAGGACGAAGGGATCAACCGTATGCACAAATTTACGCTGTACGAAACCGCGACGCGATTTTATATGGTCGGAATTAATCTTGCGGAGACCCGTTTTCGGATTCTAAAAATTGATCGGACATCAGAGTCTGGCGAGTTGAGTATCACCGAGGATGACATGGTATACAACAAAAGAGAAATGGTTCAGTTACTGGATGCAATTGACGACGGCAATAAGAGCTCTGGCGGGTTGAATCAGAAGTGTAGTGCATGGGCATTACTTGGCTTCATCCGATTCACGGGTGCATACTACATGCTACTTGTTACCAAGAGGAGCCAGGTTGCCATGCTGGGTGGTCATAATGTCTATCAAATCGACGAAACCGAACTGATCCCATTGACCACTTCGGAACCTTCACATCTTAAGGCCGAGAAGCATTCGGAGGAGGCACGATACATCGCGATCTTGAACAATCTTGACTTGTCGCGCTCGTTCTATTTCAGCTATTCCTACGACATCACCCGCACACTCCAGCATAATATCTGCCGGGATCGCAAGACTCATCAGGACGGCCACCCACAACCATTTTCGCATGATTACCACTCCATGTTTATCTGGAACCATCATATCCTTTCGCCGGCTGCCGAGGCCCTCAAGGATCCCTATGAATGGTGTCTACCTATCATTCATGGATATGTGGATCAGTCAAAGATGAGTGTCTATGGACGAATGGTCTATATCACAATCATCGCCCGTCGATCCAGATTCTTCGCTGGAGCGCGGTTCCTCAAGCGAGGCGCAAACGACCTGGGATATGTGGCCAATGATGTAGAGACCGAACAGATTGTATGTGAACAGACAACAACGTCATTCCATTCTGCTGGTCCAAGACTTCATGCAAACCCTCATTATACTTCATATGTGCAACATCGTGGGAGTATTCCTCTTCATTGGACCCAAGAAAACACAGGCGTATCACCGAAGCCGGATATTGAGCTTAATCTTGTGGATCCGTTTTACTCGGCTGCGGCGTTGCATTTCGACGATTTATTTAGAAGATATGGCGCCCCAATCTATGTTCTGAACCTGGTCAAATCTCGCGAACGAACTCCGAGAGAGTCAATACTTCTCAAAGAGTTCACTAACGCTGTGACTTACTTGAACCAGTTTCTTCCCGAGGATAAAAAGCTCATATACGAGGCGTGGGATATGAGTCGTGCTGCAAAAAGCCGGGATCAGGATGTCATTGAGACACTGGAAGATATTGCAGGGGACATCATTCCCAAAATCGGATTTTTCAAGAATGGAGATGACGCGGAATCTGGCTTGCAGCTTCAGAACGGTGTCGCGAGGACCAACTGTATTGACTGCCTCGACCGAACGAATGCTGCACAGTTTGTCATTGGCAAGAGGGCGCTTGGCTACCAGCTCCATGCCCTTGGTGTCATAGATGACACTACGGTTGAGTACGATACCGATGCTGTTAATCTATTCACGAACATGTGGCATGACCATGGAGACACCATCGCCATTCAATACGGCGGATCGCATTTGGTGAACACCATGGCTACCTACCGTAAGATCAATCAGTGGAGCAGCCACTCTCGCGATATGGTGGAAAGCTTCAAGCGGTATTACAACAACTCTTTCCTTGATGCTCAGCGCCAAGAGGCATATAATCTCTTCCTTGGAAACTACATCTTCGCGCAGGGCACTCCGATGCTTTGGGACCTCCCCAACGACTACTATCTCCACCATACCGATCCCAAATCCCACCTCGACAGAAAGAGACCCAGCTACATCTCCTGGTACACACCGGAATATCTAAAGGCCAGGGAATTCCCACCCCTCCCATTCCATCCCAAAGCACCACTCTCACATTTCGACGATTTCTGGCTGGAATATTACCGACCTCTCGCTCTGTCTTCCCTATCCAAAGTCTTCTCCTGGAAATTGAACTCCACATCCCGCTATCTACCCCCAGTCCGCCCAGGGCACCCAGTCCCCGATCTCAGCCCCTTCGTGCCTCGCATTCCTCCAGAGCAAATCCAACGCGAGCGCCTACCACAGCGCAGCGTCAAGATTCAAGAGCCACCCAACAACCGCAGTCGCGCCTCATCAAGCACGATGCCGATACCCGAAGCCGCACAGACTTGGGCCCACCAACCACCCTCATCGGAGAAACACCCCCCCTCTCACGGGCATCATCAAAGAGCCCGCTTTCGAAATCCCCCATGTATCCCGCATCCCACCCATCGACCCCCCAAACGCCGATTCCACCCCCAGCAAAGCGGAAATCGCCCAGTGGACCCTCGGCCAGCTAGTCAGCGACTCGCTGAGCCCCTCTGTCACCAACGCCGAGGCAGAAGAATACGAGCGGTACATCAACCATCCGCTCAAGGTCCCACTTGTCATCACATCCGAAGATGAAATGACTGCTTCATTGCTGCAAGACAATGGCTACAATCTCGATCTCTTGGAGTATGCAAATAAGTGCAATGTCGAGGAATCTGCGCTTGAGGCGAGGGCTGGGGTAAACATGCTTGCTTATGCTGAGTTCTTGGATGTCTCTGAGGATGGTCTTACTGTCGTGGGTGAGGACTATGAGAAGAAGAGGTATAAACGGTATCGTCAATGGTTGCGCGGGAAGAGTCTTTTCAAGCAGCGGGTTGATCCATGATCCTACGAACTATGGACTCGAGTATCTGTTTTCCATTTTGTTTTGGCGTCCAGTACAGCAAATTGATACCCTCATTATGTAGTGTTTTGTTTTAGTGAAGGTCCTGAAGATCCTGTGGATCGTGTCTATCTACTAGTATCATCCAAATCTTAAGAGCTGGTTTAGATTCAAACCCAACAGATATCTTCAACTGGGTTCCTGATTATACATTAAAAGTCCGGTGTACAGTATATGTTCCCCCCCCGCTGTCTAAAGATAGAACTGACAAGAGAAAGGAGATATCTAAAAAGACATCACAAGGCCGCATAAGGGCCCGTCTATTCTTCTTGTCATAATTGTTATAAGCTTGTTTCTAAATAACCTCCCAGAAAAAGATTGCCAGTAACGATCAAGCAAAAAGTCCCTTAAGCTCTGCATCCGCATCAACAATCTCCTGGAACTCCTTTCCCGCATTTTCCTTGACCTGCACCTGCTCCGGCTCTGGGCCACCAGTCGCAATAGCAACAGGATTCAGCAAAACAAGCTTCAAAACTTGAAGCGTAGTCTGCAACTCGCGTTTTATTTTCGACAGCTCAGCGGAATCCCTACTATCTTCGGCAATATGGAGCCAGCACGAACTCAGCCCACCCAGGATCTCACCGCGCCAGCGCCAGATCCGTGGGTGAGCGTTTTTGATCACCGCTTGTGTAGCTACTGCTGCGGTAAGCAGGAGTGGAGGGTGAGCAGTTCCGAAGGGGTTTGATAGTGTGGTGTAGAGGACCGGGATGAGTTCTTGGAGATACTTGGTAGTGTGTATTCCCAACTCGTTGACGACGACTGTGATCTTTTCTAGGAGGAAGGTTGAGAGACGGGGGTGTGGGAAGGATGCGGCTGAGCCGGAGGTTGGAGTGCCGGAGCTGACGTGGTGGAATGAGGAGATGAGGTTTGATCGGAGGATTTTGGCGAGGCTGATAGTGTAGGCTTCTTTATCCCTTTCAGATTGGGAGGGGCCTTTGTAGGCGGTTTTGAGGGTGGAGAGGAGGGCTGGGTATGCTTCTCCTAGTAGGTCGAGGGATCTATCCTCGGGTGTGATTGATGGGAGGGATAGAAGACACGGCGTGACGGCGTCTTCGAAGACGGAGGTGAGGTTTGTTCGTCGGAGGATGCCGGAGCCGCTCTTTTGGATCGGTTGCAGCAGTTGAGTGACTAGGGCACAGCCTTTTGTTTTGAATGGGAGCTTGTTGTCGTCAACCATTGCTAGGATAGTGGGTACGAAAAGCTGGAAATGCGCTTCGAATTCTGTCTTGTCGTCTGGTTGGTACTGTGAGAGGATCCATGACAGCACAGACACGACGTATACACCGGTGCTCTTCCAAGGCTTTGCTGATGCATCCGGATCGCTTCCACCGAAGCGGGGTTGAGTCTGAGGATGGAAGTTCTTGCGGCCGGCACTAGTGATGGCGGGATTTTTTGTCTTTGCGAAAAGAGGCCTAATCCTCTCTCTGAGGATGAAGTCGATAGCAGGCCAGAATGTATTGCCGCGACGAGTGTCTTGAACCCATACGCTCATGAGCATCGATGCCGCATTGTAGCTCTCTGATGTGGCCCATGGATTTTGCTTGTTGGCAAAACATGCCCCTGCGAGAAGGATGTCCGCCGCATTCTCTGGCTTGCCATTTGGCAGACCTGCGAGGGGCTTGTTCAAAACCAGAAGCAGTTCCAGAGCCAGCTCAGATCTAAATCGACTTTCGTTCTGAGCTTTGATAACATCTGTGGGGCACAATTAGTAAAAGCTTGACATGTCTATAGAAGAACTTACCGTCTGAAATCTCGGCAGTTTCATCAAAATCGACTGCGAAATCCGATGAAGGTAGAGCAGCAGCACTGGCCCAGTCGAACAAGTTATTCACGGCTTTGGCCTCAGCTGGTTTTAAGGGTCGCGAGCCTTGGTCATTTGGCAGCATGCCATCCCAGTAGTCGATATAGCTGGTCACAGTAACCAGGCTCTCGCAAAGCTAGAAGGATTAGTTTGTTTTTCTTGATTGAATCGATAGAAACATACATTCAAATGTGTCGAGTGATCGTAGGAAGCGACGTCCTGCCATAATTGAGCCAAATCATTTTTGGACGCAGCCGCAACGGCGGGGAAGAAACCGATTGGCATTTTGCCAGGGTTCTGCACGAGAGCCTCTCGGGCTTCTTTGCGCAATTTATCCATGATTAAGAATATTTATAATAAAATATGGAAGAGAAGAAGTTGTAAACAAAGTTAAGTTGTCCGCGAGGGCATGGTGTTTTCATTTGTCATCGGATCTTCAGTTTGGACCTCACTTTAATTCTGCTCGTCGACCCACGATCTCCTCCAGCACTTTTTCCTTCTCTGTGATATCAGGATGAAGAAGTTGCCATTCCAGAGCCATGTTAACTGCCTTGGACATCCAGGGTCCCTTTTTGGCCCCAAGACTTTTCATAATTTCGTCGCCGTTTACAATGGGCTTGAGGTCACAAACGCCCTCCAGGTCGCTTTCTACAATGTACGCAAGGAACTGGTCGTATTCACGGACAACTACACATTGTGAGAATTGGAATGTGATCATCAAGGGATGGAGTTTACCTTCTGCAAAGTCACGGAGTGCCATGGCTTCTTGCATGATAGCCAGGAGAATGCAAAGTTTCCAGTCCTTATTCCACGACCGCATTTGCAATCCAACGCGTTGTCGGATTTCTGCCGGTGTTCCACTCATCTCGTTGGCGAGAAGTGCATTTTTGGTCGCAATTGTTTCCTTGTAATGTAGCGCAGAAGCGCGGAGCGCATTGAGGGTCTTGTTGTCAGTACGAAGACTATCTCTTCCAACCTCAACAGCTCGTGGGGGCACGGGTTTGGATCCTTTCCCGGCACGGGCGGGGATGGAAGTCCAGGGAGCAAAGGTTGTAATCATCCAAGCGTAGTATATGGTAGTCTCGTCGCGGAATAGGATATTCCGAACGCGCTTAGTGACTGCCCGGACCTCTTCGCTATTATCAGCCTCTGGATGCAGCAATCGTGCCATAGTATTGTAGGCAAGTGGCCATGTCGATGTATCCGCCTTGACTTCATCCTGATGATTAGCGAAGATAGTGGAGAACAGTTGGAGTCGGTCGATGAGCTCCAATGCACCACGAGGGTCAGGGCCTAAGATATAAGATATGACTCGTCAGAAATATAAAGTCCTGGGAAATCGCAATGACTCACCGCGCAGCATCTTTTCCAGCTCGGCTCCCACTCGCTCTTTACTGATTTTGAGCTTCAACGCCTCGCGAATATCTTCAATCTTCATCGCGGCTTTGGTTTCGGGGTCGATTTGGTAACCCAGTCTGCTCGCAAAGCGGATCAATCGAAGCACACGCAGTGGGTCGTCTTTGAAGGTTTGGTATGGTTCCATCGGGCATCGAATAATTTTTTTCTTCATGTCGTCCAGCCCTCTCTTAGTGAGATCTTCCAGCCGTGACTCATTAAGATTGTAGAAAAGTGCATTGATAGTTGCGTCGCGTCTCAGAGCGTCTTCGAGAGCGGTACCGAACTCCATCTGAGGATTGCGACTGTCATCTGTGTATGTCTCTTTCCGTAGATTGACCAAATCGATATCCAGGCCGAAAATTTTGGTTGTGACGGTCTCGAGGTGCTTTGACTTCTCTGGGTTGGCCTCGATTTTGTGAAGGCTCACAATGGCGTCGTGCATTTCCCCATTTGGAAGGTTTTTCTTGTACTTTTCAAGATGCTCGGGAACATCCAGGTAGTCTTTCAGGGCCATACCGAACTGGTATCCCGTCATGTTGCTGATGCCCACGTCGATATCATGGCTCTCGACTCCGAGTAGTTTGTCCCGGACCCACCCGCCTGTAAAGCGCAAAACAGTTTCGGAGTGGCCTGCCATATCGCTGCCTCCTGCGGTGGTTTTCTTCTCGGTGATGTATTGTGCGACATCGAGGAGTAGGGTTCGTAGGGTGCTCTCAAGCGGAGTGAGCTCGATGGCAGGCATGGCGGGGCTCATGGTTGCATATGAGTCTTCCCGCGTCGGGGAAGAAATGCGTCGCCTCTTGCTGACTCGTTCTGCGAAGTCTGGGTCCGATTCGGGGTTGCGCATGGACGTGCGACGAGGTACTGGTGCAGAGTAGGTTCGGAGGGGTAGATGTTGTTGAAACGGGTGTATTTGACCAGCTCTTCTCGCTAGAGTGCGGGCAAGTGGAGCTTTAGCTGAAGGAAGACCAGAAGCCTTAAATAAACACACGAAAGGGCGCAACTTCATTGAACATAGCCAGGTCAGATGCTCTAAGAAAATGAGTCAGTTTGATTGTCGATAAGAATGGCCCTCACGTGGTTTGCATCACCACTTAGAGAGATCGACCATCAGTCTCTACCTGAAAGTACTCTGTGTTGTATTTATAATTGGCAAGACGATCCTCAGCGACCTTGAAAGGCTTTAGTGCCCAACCTGTCCACAGGATCTGTCGCTCTTATTTCGTTGTCGTGTCAGTGCTTATCGGCCCGAATCGGTCGACTTGGCTTTCTCCCCCAACAACACCTCCGTGAAGCCGCCACTCGCTCTATTACACCTCGTTCGACCTCATCTACCAGTCTATGGGGCCTGTCGATCAACTACACTCGCTTTAAATCTGCACAAAGCAGCAGGTGTCCGCCCATGACATCGCCCGGAGATGCTGCTCCGGTCAAACCTCCGCCGTCCTTCTCTCCCGGCGTTGCGCGAGTCGCATCCACATCACCATCACGATACCCCGGGGAGCATGAAACAACTCAATCTTTAGATGCCGAACTGGCAGAATCCCAATCGGTCTCATCGCCGCCCCCCTCTCAACCACGATCGCCGACTTACCGATACGATCTGGCTCGTCGCACTCGCGCGCTGGGAGATCCTCCACCCCACAATTAGCAAGGTCATCAATCGGTTCGCCTTTTGATGGAAGGGGTGATGGATCAGATGATACAAGAACATCAATTATTCGGTCATTCTCACCCACGATCGCAGTCCATGCCTCCGAGGATACCGATAATTTGGTGCGGAGTAAGGGGTTCAAGGGGGGATTTTGGGAGTTGGTCCGGCCCTTTGGAGAAACAGTTTCCGGAAAGGTAGTGATCAGGGACAGTATAGGCTCAAGTCGTGCCTGGGAGGACTATGGAGTGCGCTTTGTCGATTTCAAAGGGATCGGCAGGGCTCCAGCCAGTCGAGACTCTGGGCCCCTGGTGCAGATGGAAGAAGTGTTGACCAAGCAGTTAGACTCGTCGGATGGCACGTTTGGTGCATCTGTACGGACAAAGGATGTTTTGGGATTCCCTGCAACAACTCCATTATGCAAGTCGTTTTTGCAACAACTGCTGTGTTCGGCACCTACAGCCCCCCATGAGACATTTGGCCACCCAGTAGCCAATGTAATAGCCATCAGCTCGCGCAACTCAGCTCCGTTAGAGACACTCAGGCAGCTCTATGCTGATGGTACCACTGGATCCCAACAGTTACCCGAATGGGTCAACCAGGAGTATCTTCGGTATTACGTTTTAGTTCATGACGAAGAACGAGACGATATCACGGAATCTATCAAGCTTTATGACCAAATGAAGCGCCACTTTGGGCTACACTGTCATCTTTTAAGACTTCGGAGCAGCCAGTGTGTGGTGACAGACGATGATAGCATGCAAGTTCCCCAGTGCGAATGGCTCTCGCCGTCAGAGCATTTGTCGGGAGCAGGTGAAGCAGGCAAGTTTTCACCGCCACATATTCAGACGTAAGCTAACTTTCCGCCAGAAGCCTTGGTTGACCTCGGCACTGATGGCACGCCATATCTCTTTGGCTCCGATGCTACTGCGATTAGGGCATTCACCCGAGAACTTGTGGTGCAATCCGTCATTCCCTTCATGGAAAATAAAGTAGCTGTCTGGAACGACCAGGTTGCATCTCGGAGGCGTGGTATAAGTGGCAGATTTATGTCGATGTCTCGGCGATGGGCTGGCTTCGGTTCAAGCTCACGTTCAAGTATTGGAGGCCCGTCGGGTGGCAACAGCGGGAACTACGATCCAGCACAACATTCTTATAGTCCAGACTCCCAGGAGGCTATCTTGCGAAAGATGGCGGACTTTGCGTTCATGCTCCGCGATTGGAAGCTAGCTACGTCCACATATGACATGATTCGATCCGATTTTGGCAATGACAAAGCCTGGAAGTACCATGCTGGTGCCCACGAAATGTGCGCTGTCAGCATGCTTCTCAATCCATTGGCCACATCAGCCAAAATTAAGCTTGAAAGCGTCGACCAAATGTTCGAGACTGCTTGCTACTCCTATCTCACACGTTGTTCAGACGCACCACACGCACTGCGCTGTTTATCCCTAGCGGTTGAACTTCTCAAGTCTCGTGGCGGGTCAGCCACCGAGAGCGCAGCCAAATGGGCCATGCGGGTCATGGACTTTGGTCTTGTAGGCCCAGTGGGTCAGATCCTATACACCGAAAGGGTAGCAGCTTGCTATGCTTCCAAAACACCAATCGGAGCAGCGAAATGGGGTGGACGTCGCCGAAAAGCCGGCATGTGGAGCATGCTTGCTGCCGACCAATGGCTCAAAGCTGGGCAACCAACCCTAGCTTCGGCTTGTTTAGAAGAGGCCGAGCGTCTCTATGCTGACGTTCTGCAGGCTGATGGGGCGTTCCCTATGTCTGAGATGCAAAACTTTGTTGATAATCTGCGCCATGCTGTCAAGGTTGAATATCTTGAATCGAGGGGATTCGATGCCCGGGATGAACCGGCTAGCGAGGATCCCTTGGGCACTGAGGAGACCAGCGAGAAGCTCGACATGCGCCATCATCGCCGGTCTTTGATTGGGCTTCCTGTGCAGCTGGATGCCGGAACTCTCAACTCAACGCAGGCGTCTCTGGACCCTGGGATTCCACCAAGTGATGACTTTGAACGAGCTTAGACTCATTATGGCTTTAATACCTGATCATAGCAAACATATAACCATAGAATACAAGCCTGTTCAAACCCCAATTTAAGTAGCTAATGTCTAATGTAATATATACTGTCTCTTCCCTGGGAGCTGCGTTCAACTGTCTACTTGGAGTATGGAGTATAGTAGTACATCTATATGTAGTCCTGGACAGCTCGGGAATAATTCCCGGTCAGCTCACATCCGAGCACGCATTCAAGTAATATCAGAGAATATATGTACTCAGTTTAGGGCAAAAAAGTACCGTACTTTCCGTCAAACTCATGGAGGACGCATCACGTGTGGCTTATCGATAAAGCTGTCAAAGCCGGAGTGGATGCGCAGATGACCCCATCTGCTTTGTCTGCGAGGTCCACTCCCAAAAACACAACTTCCAAGGTTGGGTCTATTTGCTTAGAGCGAGTCGTATAATTTCTCCGCATACCTTTGCATGATGAGCGAACTACTGAAATATATTCTCACTCAAGAGGAAGCATTCCGAAGGTAAAAGACCAAGTCTCAAAGAGAGATAAAGCCCACCAAAACGGAGAAAGAATACCACGCTTACCCTCAATATCATATCCTTAGAAATCGGTTACCTTCCCTCTACTCTGACTTCACACCTCAGAAGAAGACAAACCCCGACGGCTACGCTGTTAACGTCGCCGCATGGCAACAGGCACTCAACCGAGCCGCAAACCGGGGCTATACCTCTTCACGCGGTGTGCGCGCACGTTCCGGCTCCACGATATCAGCTAAAAGTGGAACATCACCCGCAAAACGAAAGAAGACAGACCACCTCATTTTGCGGACGGATGAGTCGCTGCTCCGGGATTTAGAGAGTCCGGAGTGGGGGAGACCCGTAGCTCTGGGTACTGTATTTGTGAGTTTACTATCTTTTTTTTTTGGATAACAGAGCTGTCAAGCTAACCATGGGGGTGACAGGACGAGGCAGTGCGCAAGAATTCAATGATTCCATTGCCAGTTTACAAGTCCACTGCCGGGCTCTTCCAAAAGAAGAGTCAATGGAAGCTAATTGATCCCGGAGTTTTGAGTCCTTGGAATATCATGAGCTGGGGAGCTCAGCAGCTTAAGGGACTTGTCATAGGTTCCGAGAGCGATTCGGCTCCGAAGCTGCAGGTGCAGGAGTTGGTTTTGGTAGAGAACCTTCAGGAAGCAGCAGACCGAGTAGTCAAGAAAGCCACGGGCAGCAACCCAACCAAGCTTGACCTTATTTACTCTAGGGAAAGCTTTGTTCAAGAATTTGCGGGCATACTGAACGATGCTACGGAATTATCAGATGTGGATTTCGATGTCTTGTTGCTTTATTTGTCTCGCGATAGCGGTGCTATTGCATATGATGGCAAGGTAAGTTGGACTATATATACATGGCCAAAATATCCAGATGCTGACTTGATTGATGACTAGACAATCAAATTCAAATCCGCAGGTGAATCAGGGGAAATCACTCAACAAGACACAACTATTGCATCTATCAAGACGTTGGTGTCGACGATGTCGAAACAGGTCACGAGCCTGGAAGCAAAGATCGCCGAGTTGAATGCGTCTGCAAAAACGGCCTTGGCGAACAAAAACCGTATCTCAGCGCTGTCCGCTGTGCGCTCCAAGAAGCTGGCCGAACACAACCTCCAGCAAAGGTTTAACACCCTCATGCAGCTCGAGGAGGTTTACTCAAAGATCGAGCAAGCTGCCGGCCAGGTGGAAATAGTGCAGGTCATGCAGGCAAGCACCGGTGTGCTTCGCGGTCTGCATACTCAAATCGGCGGTGCTGAGAGGGTTGAGGACATTGTTGAAGAATTGCGCGAAGAGATGACCAAGGTGGATGAGGTTGGAAGCATCATGAACGAGGCCGGCCCCGCCATTGATGAGGGAGAGATTGATGATGAGCTTGCGGCGATGGAGAAGAGCGACAGAGAGGCAAGAGAGAAAGAGGAGGCAGCAGTCACCGAGAGAAGGCTTGCCGAACTGGACAGTGCCAAGCAAACCTCCGACGAGGCTTCCCGCAGAGCACGTGCGGCCAATGATGCGGAGTCGGAGCTGGCAGATAATATTATTGACCGGCTCTCTAATATGTCTGTCGAGGACCGCCCGATGCAAGCAAACTGATACCCCCCAAATTGTGGGCGAGAGATTTTGCCTTGCGTGAAAGAACAATTTTCACTTTTGGGTGCTTCTCAATTCAAGTTCAATGTGACTTGTTTTGAGATCACCCAGATAGATCAACGACATGATTAGCATCGGTGTCTGGGTTGAGCTCAACGCATGCACCATTCACGGGTAAACCAGCACCCTCCTGGCGTGCAGATGACGAAGATGCTTCGGGGATAGTCGATCGTACTTGCGCCTCGCTCTTTTTACGCGCATTTGCGATCAAACGCTTGAAATCATCATCGTGGTTGTTTGACCACTCATTGGCATCGAAGTCCTTGCGCATCACATTATTGGAAGAGGTGAATGCTGACGGCACCGCCGCATGTCCACCCTGCGTGCGTTCCCAAACCTCCAGTTCCTGGAGCAATATCCGCTTAGACTTGGGGTGTTTGGAGTCGCAATTTGCATTCCACAAGTTCATCCACTCGGTATGACGTCTCTGCAAGAGCTGTTTCTGCCCCCAGTCCGGGATTCCGAGATCTCGGAGCTTCTTCCGCAGTGAGTTATCCTTTAATATGGAGTAGTTTATAGCCGGAAGCCGCTCGGGCTGTTTTCCGGGGAGGGTGAGGCCTCGTTGGGATGTGCCTTTTAATGACCTGTTATTGTCGTCCAATTAGCGCCATTTTCTTGACTTATGCAATAGAATTTACATACCCGAAAGATGCTGGCCTCGTAGGGGATTTTTTGGGCGTCTCTTCTTCTTGTTGGTGCACGTTCAGGTGTGGAAACACTGCCTCTTCCTTCATTTTTCGGAAGCATATTGGGCAAGCAACCAACCCATCTTCTGTGAGGCGATTAGACGGGTCTGGTATTCGTGTGATAAAAGCGTCATACCGGGCATATATTCTTCATCGTCCTGACTATCCTCAATGACCTCGGGCACGATCTGAGGAATAGCTCCCTCTTCTGCCGAGCTATTTGTGGATCTTTGAGAGCGAGTCCGTCGGCCTTGCGAACTTGTTTCTGGGACATGGAGCTCCTCTTCCACCTGCTTGACCTTCCGCTTCTTCTGGGCCGGCTTTTCTATTTCTTCTTCTCCTCTAGCGAGGCGCGCATTTTCCCTCCTCGCAAGATCCAGTACACTAGGTCGTGCCAATTTAAACGCGTCGACGAGTTCCTGCACTGCCCAATTGCGACGTAGCTTGAGCTCTTGGTCGGAGCTCCGACATGCTGGACACTTGCCTTCGGCGCTGAGGCAACGGCGAATACACAGCGAGCAGAATGTATGACTGCAGGAAGTAATAACGGGGTTATCGAAGAAGTCTTTGCAGACTTGACATCGTAATGAGGATTCGAACGGCGCAAGTAGTGAAAGTGGCGTTGCCAACCAATCGGTGGAATCGGGAAGCTCGAACGACTGATCCATTGAATTGAAACCTAAACTCTGAGCTCTCTAGTTCTTTTCTGTAGAAATTCCAACCGGATTCGCCCGGCGACAGCAAATGAAAGAGGATAATAATGTGAGTGGAGAGCCGCTTGAGCAAGAGACCGCAAATGCCAAGACCCGCTGACTGATACGCGTTAAGTGGTTGAGAACGCGTCGGAGCAACTCCTAAGCACTTCAACAGCAACCATGGACTCGAAGTTATATCTGGCTGAGAATGTGCTCAATGAGCGACGCCCTGTATGATTTTATCACACCCCTCAGACAAATAGGAGCTTATCAGAATTAGGTCACATATCGCTTACTGAGCCGCGCGCTCAAAGTGCACGCTAATCGGGCCAAACAGTACGTTCTGCGTTCGCAACAATGGAAATTGGAGTTGGAACTGATACTGATACTCCGTTGCACAGAATCCTTTTTGAATTTCACCGCAATGAGAACGCGAAGAAGCCCCAGACCGTCCACGCAACCTACGTCATCTCCGGTATCCAGAAAGCACCCGAGCCGGCCCCTACGAACGGCCATGCGGACAATGATGATGATATGATGGAGAGTAGCCCCTACTTGCCAAGCTCAATGCCGAACCAAGATGCCGACTCGGACTCAATCCGCACTACCTCCATCGTGTTAGCACGCGAGGAAGACTTGGAAGGTACGCAGATTCATGGATCTCGGTGATGGGCTGATTACTGAATGAGTCGAGCAGATGCGAAATCGACGTTCCAGTCGATATCGACAATTCATGTCTACAGTCTTGAGCCTACAGCTCTACCGGATTTGAATGTGTTGGTTGATTCCAATCGGGAGATTGCAAGAACACACGGGCAGGAGGACCCATTGGAGTTTGGGAAGCAATGGGGTATGATCCAAAATCGGAACGTGAAGGTAGGTCGCCCATTACTTCGACAGGTCTATTGTTGTCTAATGATTTATGTTCCAGCGGAGGACTGGTGCGCGCCCACCACCACCTGCAGCTCCAGCTGTGAAGGCGCCTGCTGCCGAGGCATCGAAGCCTTCGATTGAGTCAACGGTGCCCGCTAAACGGCCACTACAAAAGGAGGCATCCTCTTCGAAGGTGGAAGCTGCCAAGTCCGATGAACCGAAGTCCGAGCCATCCTCTGCTGCCAACTCCCAGGCATCCTCGAAGCCTTCGGGTAAAACAGCCCCAGCCAAGCAAAAAGGCAATGGCAATCTTTTCAGCTCTTTTGCCAAGGCAAAGCCAAAGACAAAGGCATCAGCTCCCGCAGAACCGGTTGGTAGAATCACTCGTGCTGCGTTTTTTTTTCTGATCTTGTTATATTAACTTTGACTACAGGCCGCACCGAGTGCAGAAGATGGTTAGCTGACTCCACTTGGCTTTGATACATTAGCTAACATTTTCTAGTTGTGCTTGATGATGCATCTGAAGAGGAGGCAGAAGAATTGTTCCCTGATAGTACCGACAAAGCAGCCGCAGCAAACCGTGAAAACAGGAAAGAGCGCGAGGAAAAGCTCAAGAGGATGATGGATGATGACGACGACGAGGCTGACGGTATGTCCGGACCTCCAAGTTGCATCTCCAAGAATGATTTAACTGACATGGATGCAGATGAAGAAATGCCCGATGCCGATGAGGAGCCACGGGAGCCCACGCCTGTTGAGCAACCCCTACCATCTAAGCCCGCCGAACTTAAAGAAGAAGTGACCGTGCAAGGCGGGCGGCGGCGAGGCAAGCGACAAGTCATGAAGAAGAAGACGGTCAAGGACGAAGAAGGATACTTAGGTCCGTGCATCCCGCCGAGGCCCGTTCGTTTGGTCACATATACTAATTTTATGCAGTTACTCGGGAAGAGGCGACGTGGGAGTCTTTCTCTGAAGATGAGCCGGTGCCTAAGAAGAAGCCTGCAGTCAATGTTCCCAAGAAGGCTGGCAAAGCTGCGGGACAGGGTAATATCATGTCTTTCTTTGGAAAGAAGTGATCTCTGTAGAATTTGTTACAAAGAATTCGTAAAAGCACAGATATCTAATAACACTGAAGTCACACCATTCCCCTGTCAAGTATATCCGCCCAAAATGGAAATCCCGCGATGTCGATCTTCTCCGCACTTGTGGAGAAGAGTATCATCGTGTCTTGACCGATGTCACCTCGATTTCGCCGTGTACTTTCTATACTTCCGAGATAATTATCTCAAAGTTCCTATAGAGGGATATGTAGCTCAAAATGTACTTGCGAACACGGACAAATTGTATGCGTGATGTGGAATGTATCCCTGTCTGGTTGGGATCGACATACATCCCCTCTTATTTACCTCGGCCTTCTTCCATGTAGCAGTGCAAGTCCGTCCATTTCTTCTGACTTGACACTTGCGCCATGAGTACTCCTGCTGTGCTTGCAGTTGCTCTGCTGGGCCTCCAGGCCTGCGCCCTCCCAGAGAGAGACAACCCAGCCATCTTGCGACGGGCCTGCCCAGACTACACCTCCTATGCATCAACACCGCAGTGAGTGTCTATACCCATCGAGATGTGCCGACTATTTGCTAAGCAAGGATATAATGTTACAGCCCTCCATACAGTGGTGGTCCCTTGGACCTTCCCTTTCAGCGACCTGCGGAGGCTTGCCGGACATTCTCATCGCCTGCTGTGGAGAGGGTCATTGACGATATCACATCGCGTCTAGTCGATAAAGATCTGGCCCAGATATTCCGAAATGCATTTCCGAATACCCTAGATACTACAATACGATGGCATACAAACGGATCAACATCCGGCACCAATGTTAAGCGGGACGGTGCACAATGGACCGGAGTGCATACCTTCGTCGTGACGGGCGATATCAACGCCGAGTGGCTACGTGACTCAACAAACCAGCTCACAAACTACCAGACACTGGCTGCGAAGGACAAGGGTCTTTACTCGCTCATCCTAGGTGCTATCAACACCCAGTCCGAGTTCGTCATCCAGTCGCCCTACTGCAATGCTTTCCAGCCCCCGGCTCTCAGCGGTATCAAGCCGGAAGCCAGTACCCAAAAGGATACTGTGCATCCTGCATATGACGAGTCTTTTGTATTTGAGTGCAAGTATGAACTTGACTCGTTGGCCCATTTCCTACAGCTAGGCACTGAGTTCCATGAGAATACTGGTTCAACTGAGTTCTTGACCGACCGATGGTACAAAGCGTTGCAAACTGTGCTGAAAACGATTGACGTGGAGTCTCAGCCCACATTCAATACCCAGGGTCAATTCATCAAAAATCAGTACACGTTCCAGCGACAGACTACCATTGGCACTGAAACCCTCAACCTAGCTGGTGTTGGAAACCCGCTAAATAGCGAGACCGGCCTAATTCGCAGCGCGTTCCGGCCAAGTGATGATGCTACGATCCTCGGCTTCTTCATTCCACCCAATGCCATGATGTCTGTACAGCTCCAAAAGACAGCGAAAGTGATCAAGGCAGCTGGTGGGCCTGCAGATCTGGTTGCAGACCTGCAGGAACGCGGTACCAAGCTAGCCAAGGCAGTTCGCGATCACGGCATTGTTCAACACCCCAAATATGGAGATGTCTACGCATTCGAAGTTGACGGGTACGGGTCACGTATTCTCATGGACGATGCCAACATCCCCTCACTGCTCTCATTGCCATACCTCGGCTTCGTGGACAAATCAGACCCCGTCTACCAGAATACTCGCAAAATGATCACCAACAAAGCGTCTAACCCGTACTACCTGGTGGGTCCGGAGTTCCACGGCATCGGTGGTCCACACGCTGGTCTTGAGAACGCCTGGCCCATGTCTCTACTTGTTCAAGCTATGACCTCTGACGACGATGCTGAGATTATTGAGAACCTCAATCTCGTTCGTAACTCTAGCCTGCTTGGGCTTGTTCACGAATCTATCAATGTTACCAACATCAAGGATTATACCCGTCCTTGGTTCTCGTGGGCGAACTCGGTCTTTGCGCAGACTGTTCTTAAGATTGCTGCTGAGAGGCCTCATTTGATATTTGGTATGAATGCAAAGCCTTATACTATTCAATAGGGTTGATAGAGTGTCTGCTTGTGGCTTGGGCTTTTTTGGCGTTTCTTGACAATACCCGTGGACCCTAATCATATCCTTATAGCATCATCGTTATCTCAGGTTATACATCTAAAAGCTGTTTTCACGAAGCCTCTTACTGCTTTCTTTCTGTCATCTACCTACCTATAATAGTAGAAAGAGGAGAAAATATCTTAAAGAAAGACACCGAAACAAAATATCGAAAGGACCATTGAAAAGACAGTTGAAAATACTACCAAAGAGATATCACAAGGCCGCATAAGCCACCAAATATTCTTGCCTCTATTTAATACATTAATTCTCGAATGTGGGTGGGCCATATTTCGTCTTAGAATTGTCTGATTCAATACATACACACGCTTATAGCCCAGTTCCTCCATTCCCACGGGTACCCTTCTTCTCTCATACTTTAGACCGTCTCTTCTCAAGCGCCTTTCGCCGAGTGCGAATCGCCTTTGTCTCCTCTCTCAGTGCCAATCCCGCCATGATTTCCTCACTTCCGCCACCGACTACATGAACCCGAGCATCGCGACTAATCTGCTCAATTCTAGCACCTTTCCCAGCCTTGTTGTAGCCCGCACCTCCCATAATCTGCTGTGCTTCTCGAACACTCTTCTCCAGAGCTCTGGTCGACATGACTTTAAGCAGTGCAGTCATACCGCCAATGTTGACATCGTCTGAAGGACGGTCTTTGGTAAGTTCGAGGATATTCACAAGCTGTTCCATGAACGCATAGGCTGGCTCGATCATGAGGCCAAATTTGAAGATCTTGGACTGGATTGCTTGTTTTTCAATCAGTGGTGATCCAAATGTCTCGCGTTGGATGGCGTAGTTGTAGGCATCTTCGGCACAGACTCGGGCGAGCCGCAAAGATGCACAAGCAAGGGAAAGGCGCTCTGGGTTGAAGTCTGAAGGAAAGATTAGTAGCCGATTAAAGTCTAGAGATTAAGGCAACTCACTCGACATGATAAGATGGAATCCCTTATTCTCTTGACCAATGAGGTTCTCGACAGGGACGCGCACATCTTCAAACTCGATGAAGGTTGAACCTTTAGTTGTGTTAATTGGCATGTCTTCACAGGGTCGTATTGAAAAAGAACCACCCACCACTGGCATTCACGCCCGAGTTATGCATACGCCTACGAGTTACCCCAGCAGTAGCCAAGGGGATAACAAGTAAGCTGATACCAGACCTGCCAGGACCACCAGTCCTAACAGCAGTAGTGCAATAGTCAGCCCAGATACCATTGGTAATCCATTTCTTCGCCCCATTCACAATGTAATGATTCTCATCCCGATGAGCCGTAGTCTTGATATTGGCAACATCAGAGCCCGCTAAAATAAAAAAAAAGTCAGCAACCCATCTCCTTAGGACGCTATACTTCCACCAAAAGTAATCATTCACATACCATCCGGCTCGGTAATCCCCAAACAAAATCTAATATCTCCCTTCGCAACATTAGGAAGCCACCTCTTCCTCTGTTCAGCATTCCCAAAACGCGCAACAGGCGGACATCCAATCGCATTACCACCACCAAGCCCCCAACTCACACCAACATATCCCACGCGCGTGAGCTCGTCCGATACAATCAGCGAGCACCACGTATCCCACTTCTCGCGCGGGACATCCCCAGGCAGAGAGAGACTGGCCGAGTCTTCCTCGCTTGTGAGGGGATGAACGATGCTGTAGCCCAGCTTGCAATGGCGTCGGCGTACGGCTTCGGGGACTAGGCCTGCTTCTTCCCACTCTGCGGCATATGGGGAGATGTATGTGTCGGTATATTCACGTACGGTAGCACGCAGATTGTGGTGTAGATCTGTATAGTATGGATTGCGGATATCTAGTTGTGGGAGAAGGGGCTCGCTGTATGGAGCTGTTGCTGGGCGGAGAGCATCGGCCATTATGAGGTAGTATTTAGAGCTTATGGATGAGTATGTAGCTATTTGATATGGAATATGGAATACTATTTAACCATTTGGAGGTTCGAGCTCGTTTTATGCGGGGAAGACCAAGCTCGGTCGCCTGTGAAGAATATGGGGAGAGCTATGGCCGAGGCCCGCATGCTGATCTTCAGCCTGTGCGCGCCATAACAGGTTTGCCGTAGTGAATTCCTCGATTGTAAGTATACTGAGTTTATAGAATGGAATTTGAAGAGAATATAATTAAGCTCAATTCAATCACTCAGACTTCGAGAACTTGACCAAGGAATAGATTTACATGTACATAGTATGTAGTTTTTGAGCTTAAGAATAGTCACTTATACGGCCTTGTGTAGTCTTTTTAGTAGTCCTTTTTTGATACTTTCTTCCTTTTCCCCCTTTCAAAAGAAGAAACTACGTAGGCAACCTGTTTATGTATAACGTAGGATAGAAAATCGGGGTGATATTAATGTATTACTCATAAAGAAATATACTGCGGCCAGACCTGTTGTGGCGCACCCGAACTGATATTCATTTTGTGCTTCATAGAGGGGAGTTATGCATTTTTATCATTATTATTTGGGTATATGGTATTAGAAATCAAACTCATTGGTCCTTGTCCCTTTCCTGCGTTTCCTCGTATCGTCGAACGGCTTTCTTCATCGCCCGCAAATGCTCCTTGACATCCTGGCAAGTCCACCGTTGTTGTGATTTGGGGTCCAACATTCCTTTTATATATGTTATGAGAGAATCCGCGACTGTGATTCCATCGTCTAGCACGACCGAGCCATAGTCAACCTTAGCGGCAAAGTCTGCAGGGAAAATGGTGCGCTCAGACGGATCCTGGCCTGACCCGCGAGTCAGGTCATTTAAGACGAATTGTCTTTCCATCTTTGTGTTCAAACGATAAACAGCCTCGAAGAGAATGACGCCAAGGGCGTAAACATCGAGCTTTTCGTCGATTTTGTATTCGTCAAAGTAATTCACCGGTGAGCTCGGGTCACTTGGAGGCGCAGATAGATTAACTGGAGGACGATAGAACTCGGTTCCAACCACCCGCTGTATATTTGGTCCCTCTTGGAATGGTGTCATAGTACCCTGTGCCGCCTCATTAATGTGGGAGATGTCTGCCACGAGACCAAAGTCCCCGATGCGAGGACGACAGAACTGGATGGGAGAAGATTCGCCAGAGCTGCACGTGGTGCATATGTCTGCTGTGCTGTTCTCTGGTGCACACAGGAAGATATTTGCAGGCTTCAAGTCACGATGCACAATTCCCTTGGAGTGGAGATACTCAACACCCGAGACAATGTCGATCATCAGCTTTAGTGAGGGCAGTAGGTGGAAGCAATGGCGTCTGGCGAGCGAACATCCATCATATTTCGGAGCGGCTTGGGGGTTCAGATACGCGCCGAGCGAAATAGGATGAAGTGACATTTGAATGTGAAGAATGACCGCGGGGGGTTGCTGACCAGGCCGGGAACGGGGCTGAACTTGAAGCTTAGACTGGTCTTGACTTAGACCATCAGTGAAGATATCATCAGTATCTCCAAAAGTGGATGTTTGGCCAACAGAAGTATTCCCGTCAAAGGTCCGAGGAATGGATTCAATGTCATCATCTTCCTCATCCAGTCCCCTCCGTGAACTTTTCTTTGACCGATGAGATGAGCTAGTTGCATGGCTGTCCCAGCGTTGAATGCTCTCGGCGAAGCTACGATCTTCGGGCAGAGAGCTTGACGCGGACTCGGGATCTGAACTTTCAGAATACCCGAAGACGATTCCCATGTTTGACTCATTCTGGATATCCGGAGAAGACACGTTGTTTTGCGACTCATCACATGCAGTATGAGAAGGATATTCGGTCGGAGGTGGGTGTGAGTGATGGGCCTGCTCGACCCATGCCCCATAGTATCGAACGATGTTCGTATGCTCAAGGCGGGCAAGTGTCCGAATTTCCTTCATGATAACCTCGAGTTGATTTTGACCTCCAAATTGCAGCTGTTCAAGTCGTCTTTGGCTGAGTGGGATTTTCTTGACGGCGTAGTCTTGTCCGTCAATGTGGTTGGTGACGTGGTATACTTCGCCGAAGGACCCGCGGCCCAAGATCTTGAGCTCCTGGAATTCGACGGAATATCTCGACAGCTGATTATACGGCGGGGCTGTGGGAGAATGGAAAAGCGAAACCCCTACAGGCGAACTACCAAACAGGGGAATCGAGGGATTGGGGAGGTTCATTGTCGCACGGGGAACCGTTGGAATAAAATCCACCTTATTACCAGGAGGAAGCCGTTTCCTACACGCTGGATTTGGTTCGGTGTTTCGCCGGAACAGAGTGGGACTTTCTGCGTCCTCAACGCCGGGGTTCTTAATCCAAGCTTTTGTGATTAAGGCAAGATCCTCACCGGAGCCAATTGCGGGAGAGCGTGCGTGGGGTTCATGGAAATTCATCTCCTCGAGGGCAGATATACCAAGCAAGTCAAGGTTATCCCGATAACTCTGTCTGCTTGGCCCCATCTCCTCTCTGTCAATACCATCGGCTAAGATACCATGGGCTGACAGGAACTGTGATTTGAATTTGTATAGCTTCTTACCAAGGTACTGAGCTTCGGGGCTGTGTCGACTGAATGGTTTATTTGAGCCACGTTGCGCATTGAGAATGTCTGCTGCTCGACTCTGACAGTAAAATTCCAAGAGGGCGGCTGTCATCACATTTGCATGTTGATCAACATTTACATCAACCAGGCCCTGTGGCTCTGCTGATCTATCGCCGAAAGAAATCGAAGAGTCTGGATCTGTAGAATCCGAGTCTATCGGAACTCGCTTGGTCTTGTCCTTCCTCGGGCTGCGGGATTGATTCTCTGCAGCATGTCGAGGAGTTGATGACCCAGATTCCTGGATTTGACTTTCTTCTGAATCGGAGTCGAGACCCGAGTCCGACGATGAGATTTCTGCTGCTGATCGGAACATTGACATATTGATAACACTTTTCATTCAAATAACACACGTAATGAAGAATTGAATCAGCACTGTGCCGGCGCCATTGACGAGAGGTGAAGTACACAGATAATTTCAAAAGAAGAAAAGAGAGGGAAAGAAGGATAGGTCCATAGGTCGGTATAAGTCGTGCTGCCTCCGGAAAGTTGGGCTGAATGTTGCCCCGCAGTAAAAATGGAAGCTCTTTGATCAGGGCAATGACACGAAACTGAAAGAATGAACAGGAATAAACAGGTGTCAGTTATCCCTCAGACGGAGATGACACGTTGAGCTTGAGATCAAAAAGATGTAAACATGTCATAGAATCTCGGGGCGGTCATTGACTCAAGCTTCCATCGGGTTCTACTAGGAGGATGTCTTTAGCAGGGCGTGGGGCATGCAGCTCTTGGCAGAATAATCGAAGGTGTGTTGGGTAGAGTCTGAGACCGTACAAGGAAATTGGCAAATAAACGTGAAGTAGACAAAGACTTGGCTTAAGATAAAGCCCTGGAGTTATTCGATGCCAAGCCCAGGGAGGCGAGTCATCCGTTTCCGAACCCGTGAACTTGGCGGATCTCGAAGTTATACAACAATATCAAAGGCCCTATATACTCAATGTAGCTCTCTATATAACATACATATATCACTGGCGTTTCTAGTATAACACGAGAATTCCATAAAAAAAAGAAACATCGAGAGCTAAACATCCATGGATGTATACCTACCCTTGACCTTTTGACCATTTGACCAATCAGATCACCCCGAATCTTTCAATTTAGCTTATCTTATCACACGTGACTCACACGCGTAAACGTCACGTCGAAGGCGCGACACCGCGACTTTCACTAGGAGTTGCCCGCCTAACACATTCTCGAGTTTACGAATCCCCGCTCACCCCATCTCTTTTCTATCACAAAATTGACTGTGACTTGCTCAGCCTCGGCCTCTGAGTTGCCGCCATGCCTGAAGCTACCATCCCTCCCCAGAAACGGGTGCTGGGCGACGCGGCCAATAATTCCAACGGTATCTTGAAATCTGATAGCGCTCTCAAGAAGCGGAAACTCGACAATGAACCATCTGTGCAGTTTACGCCCTCCTCACAGACCGTCCGGCGAAAGATTGGTTCGACTCAACCACAGAAAAGTCAATTCGAGGAGGAGGTACTGGAAAAGTTGACGCAGGATATCGGCGACTTGAAGGGGAACAACTCGGAGAAGGACCAGCAATGGGAGCGTCCCCCGCTTGCTGACTTCGATGAAACCAAGGAAAACATCTGTTTCCAGCAGATTGACGCGGAAGAAGCAATGCTCATGGGAAAGCCTGCTATTCGACTTTTCGGTGTTACCGAGGTAAATATATTTGCCATTCGCTGCAGTTCCGTATCTAACACATTCCCAGACCGGACAATCGGTTTGCCTTCATGTTACCGGCTTTGAACACTACCTCTACATCGCTGCTCCTGTCAGCTTCACCAAAGCGGATTGCGACCCTTACAAACATTTCCTAGAGCAAAAGCTAGGCCAAAGCTTCACTGCGATCTCGTCCGTCCAACTCACAATGCGCGAGAATATCTACGGATTTCAAGGAAACCAAAAGAGTTATTATATTAAAATTACGGTCACTGAGCCAAAAATGGCCGCTCGGTTGCGAAGTGCGTTGGAGACTGGCAGTGGAAGCATGAACTACAAGGGCATGTGGAGCGGCGCAGATGGAATCCTCACATTCGACAGTATTCAATACCTTTTGCGCTTTATGATCGACACTGGGCTGGCTGGGATGGCTTGGGTCGAGGCAATGGCTGGGAAATATCGTCTTCTTGCACAGAATCAACGATTGTCCAACTGCCAAATCGAAGCCAGTGTCGACTATCGCCACATGGTAGCTCATCCACCAAATGGAGAATGGGCTAAAATGGCACCTCTTCGCGTCCTCTCCTTTGATATTGAGTGTGCCGGGAGGAAGGGTATCTTCCCGGAGCCTAATATGGACCCTGTTATCCAAATCGCCAACGTTGTTACTCGATACGGAGAAACAAAACCATTCATCAGAAACGTCTTTGTCCTCGATACCTGCAGTCTCATCGTCAATACCCAAATCCTTGAATTTCAAAAGGAAGAGAAGATGCTCGACGCCTGGCGCGATTTCGTGGAAAAGGTGGACCCCGATGTTATTATAGGATACAACATTGCCAACTTTGATTTCCCATATCTACTCGATCGGGCCAAACATTTGAAATGCACTGGGTTCCCCTATTGGACCAGACTGAAAGGTTTCAAGACAGAAGCCAAGGATGCAAACTTTTCGAGCAAGCAAATGGGCAACCGCGACACGAAGGCGACGAATACAAACGGTAGAATTCAACTTGATCTTCTCCAATTGGTCCAAAGAGATCACCAGTTGAGAAGTTACACCCTTAATTCCGTATCCTACGAGTTTTTGAAGGAGCAAAAGGAAGACGTCCACCACACGATGATTACTGAGCTGTTCAACGGTACCCCCGATTCGAGACGACGACTGGCAGTGTATTGTCTGAAAGATGCATATCTACCACAACGATTAATGGACAAATTGATGTGCTTGGTCAACTACACAGAAATGGCAAGAGTCACGGGTGTGCCGTTTAATTTCCTCTTGTCTCGAGGACAACAGGTCAAGTTCATCAGTCAGCTGTTCCGGAAAGCCCGAGAGCAGCAACTCGTTATTCCCAATTCCAAGTCACAGGACGAGCAAGATTACGAAGGTGCTACTGTCATCGAGCCGAAGCGAGGATACTATGGTGTGCCCGTTGCAACCCTCGATTTCGCATCACTGTACCCCTCAATTATTCAAGCCCACAACCTCTGTTACACGACTTTGCTCAACAAGAGCAGTGTTGAGAAGTTGAACCTGAAGAAGGACGAAGATTACATCGTCACTCCAAACGGAGACATGTTTTGCACAACCAAAGTTCGCAAAGGCCTTTTGTCCCAGATTCTCGAAGAGCTGCTGGGGGCAAGAAAGCGCGCAAAAAAGGAGTTGGCTACCGAGACTGATTCTTTCAAAAAGGCAGTGTTGAACGGTCGTCAACTCGCCTTGAAGATCAGCGCAAACAGTGTTTACGGTTTGACAGGTGCCACAGTGGGTAAGCTGCCTTGTCTTCCCATTGCCAGTAGTACGACCAGTTACGGCCGCCAGATGATTGAGAAGACAAAGCAAGAGGTAGAAGCACGCTACACCATCGCCAACGGCTACTCTCATGATGCTGAAGTTATCTACGGTGACACCGATTCCGTTATGGTTAAATTCGGCGTCACTGAACTGGCAGAGGCGATGAAGCTTGGCCAAGAAGCCGCCGATTTTGTCTCTTCCAAGTTCATCAGCCCCATCAAGCTTGAATTCGAGAAAGTATACTTCCCTTATCTTTTGATCAACAAGAAGCGATACGCTGGACTGTACTGGACAAACCCCAACAAAGCCGACAAGATGGACACGAAGGGTATTGAGACTGTTCGACGTGATAACTGCTTGATGGTTCAGAATGTCATTGAAACGGTGTTGAACAAAATTCTGATTGACCGAGACCTTGATGGTGCCCAAGAGTAAGTTGTGACACCCCTCAAACCAAGCTGTCAACAAACTAACATAATATCTAGCTACGTCAAAGCCACCATTTCGGATCTTCTCCAGAACAAGATTGATATGTCAAAACTAGTCATCACAAAAGCGCTGTCAAAACGCAAAGAGGACTATGCAGGAAAGCAGGCACACGTTGAACTGGCTGAGCGCATGCACAAGCGTGACGCAGGTTCTGCGCCGACACTTGGTGACCGTGTGGCTTACGTCATGATCAAGGGTGCCAGTGATTCCAAGGGCTACGAACGAGCAGAAGATCCCATCTTCGTTCTAGAAAACAACATTCCCATTGACACCAAATACTACCTCGATAATCAGCTTACAAACCCACTCAACCGTATCTTCGAGCCCATCTTGGGTGAGAAGAAGGCAGGCCAGTTGCTCACTGGCGAGCACACACGGTCTATCACCAAAGCGGCGTCGAACTTGGGCGGACTGATGAAGTTCGCCAAGAAGACCCAGACCTGCATGGGCTGCAAGAAGCCCCTTTCTAGCAAGGACGAGATGGAGGGCGCTGTCTGCTCGAACTGCCGCCCCCGCCTCGGTGAACTTTACACTAAAACCCTTACTAAGGTCTCCGATCTAGAGGTCCGATTCGGGCGGCTGTGGACTCAGTGCCAGCGATGCCAAGGTAGTCTTCACTGTGAGGTCATCTGCTCATCTCGTGACTGTCCGATTTTCTACATGCGCATGAAAGCAAAGAAAGATGTCGAAGATTCACAGAAGGACCTGTCCCGATTCGATTTTGACGCTGGTGCTTGGTAACGAGACAGCATTCTCCATTGTATGACTTATTTTCTTTTCTTGGCTAGCTTGATTTTCTTTTCCTTTCTTTTTTTTTTTTTTGGTGGTATGTACGGCTAGGCCTTGAGCATGGACGAATGGCGTTGGAGCTTGAAAATAATGTACAACGAGATTGAGATAATAACAAGTAGTTGAAGCCACCTTCAAGTGGCTCGCTTCTTTCTGCATCTTTTCCAAAGTCCTTGGTGTACAACTGTCAGTTTCTCGGGTTATTGAAGTTGCTAGCAAGATCTGGTGGGACGGGACTATAGACAATAGAGACAATACACAATACACAATACATCTGTAAAAATAAACAATAGGGACAATAGACCCTCGGACTCAATCAGATTAAATAACAAAACCCAAGCAAATGGGTCACTATCTCTACTCTTTTCTACTGTTTTCTACTCTTTTCTACTGTTTTCTACTCTTTTCTCTGTCGTGTACTTAAAGCCCGGAAGCGCGTCATCTGCAAAGCCGAAGTCTTGGCGTGGAGAAGCTGCCGATCTTTAATTTCACCATGACTTTCAGGTCTAAGCCCGCCATGAATCCCACAGTGGAGGATGAAGTTGATGCCAACGCCAATCAAAAAGCCAATTCCAATTCAAATGACACGCCAATCCCTTGGTCGGAGGTACGTCTTTGTTGCGCAAAGCGCGAACTGAAATTTTGGACATTTTCAGAATGTGAACTGTAATTGACTGGCTCTTTCTTTACTAGATCTTCTCCCGTCATGAAGCCGTCCTCTGCTCTCACCTTGAAATTCTGAGCATGGTGAAGGAGCAGATTGCTCCAGAGGTCAATGGCTTCCAGACCGTCTCGTCGATGATGAACAAAACAGTACAGGCGATGAACCAGCTGAAGGTGGCTAGAAAGCATATGGTGAGCAGTCTACTCAATTTCCTTTTTCTTGGTCCCATAACTGACTGTTACTTCTTTAGATGAGCAGTAGGTTCCACCAAGATCCTACCCCGGACACAACCTACCCTACCCCACCTTTTACCGAGCAATAAAAACAGGAATTGACATGACAACCTTAGAAACTGCTACACCCTCAACCTCCTCCAACCCCACACAGTCCACTGACACAGAGGCGAATACTCGCAAGAAAAGACGCAGAGTCTCTCGAGACAACGAGACAGCCCGTCCTGAACCCACGGACGAAATGCGAGCCCCCAAACGACACCACGACTCTTCCTCCCAGCCAACAACCGAGCAAGATGGAGAATTTACGTCGACGTCACTTGGAACAGAGGATATCTCAGCGGAAGTCCAGCGACGGCTGAGAATCAAGGAAGAGCAACGTCGTAAGAAAGAAAATCCCAAGGCGGATAAGCGCAAGCGCGACAGTCTCGTTTCGAACGATGGTGAATCCCCTATTGCGTCCAGGCCTCGGAAGAAACGACTTATGGTGGCGAATGCGCACAAGAGGCATGGGGATTTGATGGACAATGATGTGGATTCTGCAAAGAAGAAAGCACGCAAATCGCCTTAAGAAAGGCTTGGAAGGAGATCATGAGTGATGCTGGTCCGTTACTTGATTTCATTTTACTTCTATCGGGATTGCGGTTCAGCTACTAGTGGATTATGAAAATTCGGGGAAGAGGCAATGATGCCTGCCTTGATAGTTTGACCAGTTCTTACTGGGACTATTCTTAGAAGCTCTAAGTCCTCGGTAATAGTTTTTATTTTCTGACCTGCGGATCCCTGCCCAGTTAGAGATTCTATCAAGACGTTACAATTGTAGGTAGCCTCTGGCGTTTCTCCGCAAAATACGGCATGTTGCGAGTAGAGACAAAGTACGTCTTAATAATTCACGAACAGTGCAATATGAAAACCAGGATGTAGGCAAGATAAATGATCAAACTTACGACTTCGATGTGGTTTGAAGTAAAGGAAGAGGATACATCCTCACTAAAGTTACCTAAAATGGACTAGTAAGGCCAAAGCTTAGCTGAACCTTACGGACTTCATGTAACCTCAGGCCGATTCCACATTGGGCATAGTAGGCAAGATGAAGATGAGAAGTGAAATAAAAGAGCGAAGGTATACAGTCTAACTTCGTACAGTACCGCTGCCCAACGTGAGCTTATGTATAAAAAAGATAAGCTTCGGACACAGAAGCTGTTATTGAGAGGGAAGAGTTTACATTCTTTTCATCTCTACAACTATGGCGTCAACCCGTATGGAAAGAGCCATATCAAGGAATTAGGTACATTATGGCTTGACCGGTTCTCCTCTTGTTTTCTAAAATACATTTCCTATTGTTTTAGAGCTACGTACATTAATAGGTTATTCTCGAGGTGACATTATGTTCCGGTTCCGAATTAGACACCGTTGACATATCAAAGGACTGGTATAGAAGAAAGTCATTATCTGCAGAAAGAATTTAAAGTTCATTGTTCAAATAACATTCGAACTCTTTGTCGTGGACTCGACCCGTGATGCCCCGATAGAACGTTGCTAGCACCTCAATTCAGTGCTCTGACACAATGATCTTTCCGCTATTCTCCGACAGCAGAATGAACTCAGCTCAGTATAAATCACAAGACCCTTTGAAGCTTTTGCTTTGCTTGGTTCCCCTAGATGAGATATGTTACTGACGCTCAGATATATTTGGTTCTACATCCATGTGTCTGCATCAAGTCCAACCCATAGTCCGATTTCATCTTGGGCTCCGGACCTCTGATGGGAATATCCAAAACCTCGTTTCAAATGGAGGAGCCAAAGTTGAAGAACTGAAATTTCTTTGTCTGCCTCCCTTTATTGATGACAATGGTCTATTGTTTGCTTTGCTTCTCAGTCCGACTCTCCTTTAGGCTCGACATATAACGGTCTGCCTCCCCATATATCATGGGACCTAGTACAAAAGATCAACTTGCCCTTATTTAGATGTTAACTTTTTACGAATCCAAGGGATTCAATATATTATCTCCGTGGACGAATCCAGAACACTTCCGAGATTGGCTTAGTAGCTCACCTCCAGCTTGGGGCTATAAACCCCCCTCTGCCCACCATCGATTCCCCTGTTTTCTTTCCTTCTTCACCTCACCCTGGGGTCATCACCATACCAAAATCATCTCACCACATCTCATCCAAGACCTATATTCCACTCCATTCGATCACCCAACCAACCCTGTAAGGTGCCAGGGTCGGAAGACTGTCTTTAATCGTCGGACTTGGAGGTGTCACCGGCCTCTTGAGGTGAAGTATCCCAGCTGAAGGCAAAAAATAGACATTCCTCCCCAAAAAAATCCACAAAACCACAAAATAAAACCACAAGGGTCGAGAAGAAAAGAATAGCCCAGCCAAGGGAAAAAAAAAACAAGCCAAAAACAGAGGACCCGCTGGGCATCTTCCAAGTGGAAATCCGGCTTTTGGAAGTTCAGCCGAATGACCTCGCTTGCACGGAACTTCTCTCGAGAAACAAGTTGTGGTAGTCCAAACGCCCATCAAAGCTTTGGTATACGGAACGAAAAGATGAATTACACCAACGGCAACTCGTCTCTTGTGCCCACTGGGCCCAGATCTTTCCATGGCAATGGTCGTGCAAACAACTACAATCCCAATGCCAGCCACCAACGGAACAACAATGGCAAGAATAACTACCAATGGAACAGAACTGGAAACGGCAATGGCAATGCCAACCAGTGGAACAACCATCGAAATGGTGGAAACAAGCCCCGGAACAACAACAACAACAACCGCAATGGCAATGCCAACCAGTGGAACAACGGTCATAACAACTACAACGGCAATGCCAATGGCAACCAGTGGAACAACAGTCACGACAACTATAACGGCAATGGCAACCAGTGGAGCAATGCTCACAACAACGCCACTGGCAATCTCAATGGCGTTGGAAAATACAAAGGCAAAAACTTCAATCCCAATTACAGGGGGAAGAACTATAACCCCGACTTCTCTCGTACCGCACCGCCTATTCCAGCCCAACGACACATGCCTGCTCCAAATTACAATATCGACACTGAGATGACTGAGCCGCCATCCGATGAGCCAGTAAGTTGATACCCCCGGCCCTTTTATAAAAGATCGGTCACTAACATTGTATATAGAATGACATTGAGATGCCCGACGCACCACCGCTTCCAGATCCAGTGAGTGATATCTGGCAAGCAGCACATGGCCTACAACATGCACTAACTTCTTTACAGAGGATCGAAGCCTTCACCGTAGGTGCTCTTGCAGTCAAGGAAATTGTTAGTCCCCCATCCCTCTTCCAATTCAACCCTGTTGCGTTCCATCAGCCTGTTTTCCACCAACCTGATTTCCATCCCTCTGCTTTTAATCCTACTTTACATCGTCCCGTTTTCCGTCCCCCGACTTTCTACCCCCCAGCTGTCCATCCCAAGATTATCAGTTCTCCAAAGTTGCAAGGAAACCCGGAGTGTGAATATTTTCGCTAACACCATAACAGGCCGAGACCATGCTCAGGGTTGCTACTCAGTTGGACCCCAACTATAGCTACATCCCAAATTGAGCTCCACTAAACAGCGGCCTAGCCAACCCTGCTTTAGTCGAAAGAAAGAAAAGGTCATCATCAAACTGTCATCCACAACGAAGCCACACAAATTTCCACACCAAACCACCATCCACCGACATCTGGACACGCCCCAGGACCTCTGGGTTCCTCAAATTGGGTATGAACCGTCTGTGAAAGGTGACAACCCCCCCCCAGAGCAGGGCACATAAGGCTTCATCGACAGAGACACACAACACAACCCGCATCTGGTCCTGGTATAGACGGTGCACGGCCTGTCCACAGGGAGGGCCAGATTCAAGACCGAGAGGAACTCGGAGAAAAAGAACTCGAATCGGTACATGTGCAATGGAGGAACAATATAAAGGAAACTGTATTTAGTACTGCTGTCCTGGTCATGGTTTTTACCGAGCACTCAACAAGGGTTGCCGGGTTTTCCCATGGTCCCGTCAGGATGAAGACACCATCATCAACAACAACACCAACATCGGCATCAAGATCAGCATCAAGATCATCAACATCAACATCACAAGAAACCATACACTCTTCATCCCACGGCTCGAATGAGGGGTCTTGCTATTTGATACAATCTGTTTGGGACGTGCTGGCACATCTTTTATGTTTATTTATTTCTGGGGGTGATATACATCGGTTTGATGTTGGATATGCGAGAATTTTCATGTACTGAATTTGGTTGGCTGGGGGCCTCTCGGCTTTCCAGATGGGATATAATCGGAGGCATTTTTCATGTACTGTCCTCTATCAAGGAATCTCTCACGATGCCATGGTCGGCGGGAGGTTCTTGGTTTTGGAAACACTTTGGATGTATGGGATCTGGTTGGTTTGGGGGTTCTGGCGATGCCATGGTCGTTGAGGATCTTACAACTTCCAGTTGGGATATTACAGGGATTTGGAATGTACTGTTCTTGGTCAAGGAGTCTCTCGCGATGCCATAGTCGTTGGGAGACTTTTTATTTTGGGAATAGTTTGAATGTACTTATTTTTAAATGAAGGAATATTCTTTTCCAATTGGATTTCATTTTCTGTAAGCTTATGCTCAATGTTACATCATGGCTAACGAGAAAACTGTGCCCCTGTTTGACCTGCAAGATTGCATTGCTATCAAATCTTTCATATTCAACTTGGAATTCAATCTACTCAGTCCATAACATGCCCTTCGAAATGTTCCTTTCCACTCCACTTTTTCGGTCTTCGTAGAATATATATATATATATCACTTTCACGGTATATTGAATGGTAGCACACCCTTTTCGAGCGTTTAGATATACGACTTTGTAGTATAACCCCTCCAAGACGATTTTTCGTCCCGTTCTATAATGATTAATTCTATTCGACTTCCTAGCTAGATTCCGGCTTAAAGCTTTTGTAAGATATATTTTATATGAGCCTTGGCATTCATAATATCTGTATATTTGCTCCCTTTGAATTCATCTATTAGGTTTTAGGCCCAAATAGGAAAGCCTACCTATATAAGTGATCTGATCTTATATGATATCACCAATTGAGCTAATTTCTTTATAGCTAGTACAAAAGGCATACCTTCCCCCTGAGATAGATAAATTAGCAGTGATGTAATGTATGCACTACCTATATAGCGCTAAGGGGGACGATCATTCGGGGGCTTCTTTTCTACCGGCCGGCTACTCCGGAGTAGCCGGCCCCAAACCACGTTGTATTGGTAGTAATAGTGGGGATCTATTTTCTAGACATATTATAGAACCATGCTCAATGCCCTGGATCTTGACGGCCCCCGATTTCCCCAGCTTGGCGGCCCCTTCTTGGCTCATCTTGGCACTCCCATCTTAGTGGTATAGAGTATAGTATAGATTCCTTCGGCTTGTTATAAAGCATAATCTACATAATATACGTCACGGGCAAACATATGCTGTATGTTGTGCTCTTGATCGAAACTTGGCGAAGTCCACATGCTTTCAATCCGGCCCAAATGGTATATAAAAGGCTGTTGGCACATCTCTCTAGAATCTATCAATCTCCATTCCACATCTCCATCGGACAGTCTTAGTCTGTGACTCCTACAAACTTCCTTGATATCATCTACCAGCCTCTAAATTTCAATATGAAGAATACTGGCGCCATTTTCCTATTGGCATCCTGCCTCCCCGCCGTGTTAGCAGAGAAATGCTCTGCGATAGGATGGCAGCACCAAACCACCATAAAAGGTGGAACGCTAGGCGACTATGGAGTCATTCTCTACAGGGGCGATAAGGAAATCGGCAAGTCGAACAATTGCAGGAAATGCCCAGGCGTTTGCTCCGACCTCACATGGGTTGAAGGAGAAGGTCTTGAAGCTAAGTTTGGCTGGGCTGCAAGCTGCAGTATCAATCACTTTACGTATGAACAATTATCCTACGCTTTGAATACAAATTATGATTTTCTAACTATTATCTTATTTTTAGAGAGTGCCATGGTTCTTATGCCACGCAGACCCATATCGATGGCGAAAAGCCTTCCAAGGACGGCAATGCCTATGGCATTTCAGCTGGCGTTGGCTCTCAGTGCAAGATCGAGTTCGATTGCTAGATACCAGAGAGCCTTGAGGCTGGACCATTGGTTATTTGTTCGTTGCTTATGAGATGTACATATATTTCTGGCATAGCAGTTGACCTTTGGTTCAATGTCATCAAAGTCTCCTGGAAAGATCTCCACTATCTGAGAGGACGCTATGTTTATCAGAGCAGATGATTCAAAGGGCCCAAGAAGTAATAAAGGACGACTCAAGGGAAACTTGGCTTATCCAATCAACAATTCCTTTTGATCAATGTAATTTATAAAAAAGACAAGGAAGATATCTCTGAAACTATATGACTTAAGAGTAGGTAAGGTCCTAGGTGTTTTGAAGTAGGGAATAAATCGAGATCATGAAACAATCGGTTGAAAATTGAGAAATAATCTCCTTACAAAGGCTTGTCACATAGGTTGGGACCCAAAAACCTGCCGTAAATGGTGGTTATGTACATGTACATAACCGTGTCAAGTGCCCCATCAGAACTAGTAATCAATGGAGATGCACGAGTTATTTAACAGCATAGGGTATTCGTTGGATTTGATATCAAGGCTCTATACACCGGCTTTCTAACAAACTTCGACCATGGACGAATTATCCCGTCTCACCCCATCTCCGCATATACACCAAAGTCTTACATGTAGATATTACAGACAACTGCCGCTTGTTCGAATTGATGTATAGTACATAGTAACAAAAGACTTTATAACACACTCTGATAAATTCCTGGCAGGTGGAATAAAAAAAAGCAACCAAACACCAAACCCCAATGCAAAAGCAGGACAAAATATAATACATCAAGAGGGGGGGGGGGGGGGAGAGACAGACGCTGTTCAAGACACACACTAGACAGAGACAAAACATGGAGAAATCAATCCTTCTTCTCAACAGTCTCATCCTTAACGCCCTCACCCGCCTTCCCATCCTTCTCACCCCAAGTCCAAACATCCCAAATATGCTCCTGAATCAAATCTCCATATCCCTTCCCTTCGCTAAGCGCCTTCTGCTCCTCTCTCAACCTCCTCTCCTTCCACCCCTCAGACTCCCCACCCATCCAAAGCCGCTGCACCACCCCCTCCTCCTGCGCCTGTCTCGCCTTAAGCTTCTCAATCTCCTCCATCAACCCCGAATCAGGCTCCCGGCGCTGTTTATCCGAAAGCGCCAAAATCCGCGCCTTCAATTGCTCATGCTCGGCCAGGCGGAGCTGCGCGTCGCGCGCGGCCCGGAGGCGTTCTTGGATCTCCAGTGCGCGCTCGCTGGGTAGGGAGGAGAGTGTCCCTTGCATCCGGGAGATGCGCGCGTCAATGCGTTCGACTATGCTACGTCCTGTGCGCTCGTGCACGATGTGGTTGGCAGAGGCGCCGAAGGAGCAGAGGACGAGGACGGTGAGAGGGTCCAGTTTGCGTGGTGGGAGGGCGATTAGGATCGGTGCGCCGATTAGGAATGTGTAGGCGGCATAGTTCTTGAAGCGTTTATAGTCTGCTTCGCGGGTTGCGTTCAGGTCTTCGGGTGAAGGGGTTGCCATTGTTTTTTTGGCCGGTGATATTGCGGAGGTTGCGGTGTTGGAGGAAAATTTATGGTTGGCGGGTGGGGCTTGGCGGATACTTGGCAGCCCTGGAAGATCGTCTTATTTGGGGATTTATAGATCGCCATTCTTTAGATCTTTTTTTGGGTAGATCTGGAGATCAACAAATTTCTATCATTCTGGATATATGGAATTGTCTGTGTCTGTAACAAAAGAGAAACAAAAGACATCAAAAATGATATCAACTACATGCATACTACGTGATGTATTACGCACTATGCACTCACCAGGATGCACAAAGATCTAAGCTGATATGGTACAAAAACAACTCGAGTCCCATCTCAAATAGTGATTATCATGATGGAAACAAATATCCAAGTTCTTCATAGCTGATTGGCAGAACAGACCATACCACCCTATTAGTGTTCATGTCGACGTTATACAAAAGGCAGCACCTTACCCAATCCCACACTATAACCTCTGAGGCTTACTTCCCTTTTCTACCCCTCCACTTCCACTTCCTCTCTCTCCATCTCCCATCTCCCATCTCTCATCTCCCATCTCTAACCCACAATCAAGATGTTCACCAACGGTCTCTTCTCCTGGTTCTCCAAGGAGACCACTCCTAACCCTACCTCGGATGCTACTGCTACCACTAGCATCGAGAACCGTCAGCCTATCAGCCCAAAGACCCCCTTCGCCGACGGCATGATCACCGAGCAGCCTGTACGTCACACAAGAGACAAACCCCCTTAACATACTCCCGACTAATATCCCCAGAACTCCCAGGAGAACATGATGAAACTGCGTGGTGGCGGTGCCGGCGATGTTTGCTGCGGCCTGTAAGCTAAACGCGTCCGAGACCACAAACTACCAATCCAAACTGACATCCGTCTAGTTGCGCCGGTCTCCTCTGCTTCGAGTGCTGTGAGGAGTGCTGCTAATTGCGTCGTCGGCTCGGTCCTCTTGATATCCTCGATAACTTGCTCTATGGTTAACCGGCTTGCACGTTTGTCTCGTGGGGGTGATTGCGTGTTTCGGGGGCTTGGGTGGAGATATTGAGAGATAGGGATTAGCCGGGCTCGAGGGACATTATTTGCTCTACTCCCTACGCTTCATATGCCTCTTTAGCGATTATGACTCATGTTATTGGCAATTTGCCGGAGCCTTTGCGTGAAAATGGAGTCTGGACTCAGGTTCAACATACCCATTTTCTTTTTCTAGCTGAGAAAATTGAGATTCAGTCTCGTTTCTGATTTTCTGTTTCCGTGCTGACATTGTTGATTCTTATAGTTGTGGGTAGAGACCACTGGGACTACTGTGAAGAATGGGTATTGATCAGGATAATTTATGCTATGGAACTATCTAAGAGTGGGGAGATTCCCTTCTATCCTTGATGTAAATTAATTTCAACCCGTAGAACCGTGGCAGGTAATCTTGAAGCTCACCCTTCAAGCTCACCCCGGATACCATCTCAAAGTTCATTCTCGAAAACTCTCCCTCCGATCTCAATCTCAAACCTCACCCTCAAAGTTCTTCCTCTTCATCTTCATCGTGCGTGTTGGGAAAGATAAGTCCATCCAAATCATCCACTAGGGACTCCAAGCTCGAGGAAAGGGCCGCCACGATGGGAGATACAACCCCTGTGTTGGAAGACACGACAGCTGCAATGGGAGACACGACCCCTGCGATGGAAGAAACAATGTCTGCATTTAAAGACAAGTCATCTCCGTTCGAAGAAACAGCCTCTGGATTCGAAGACACACCATCTTCATTGGGAGAGACGGCCACTGGGCCTGAAGAGACATCATCTTCATTCGAAGATACGTCATCTCCTTGCGAGGATACGGCCTCTGGATTTGAGGAGACGTCACCTTCACTCAAAGATGCGACTTCTTCATCCGAAGACCCAGGAGTATTGTGCTCAGGCTGGCTACTCGCATCGAAAGCGATTTCGCCTGGCTCCATTTCATCGCCGATCATTCGCGGGATATGGGCAAAGCCACGAGTAACTTCACTGAGCTCCTGTTCAATTTGGCCAGTGGTCACACGGAAAGCACACTTGGAGTAGCGAGCCTCCATGTGGGCGACGAGCGCGGCGAGGGTTCTGAACCGTTTGAAGCATCGAGGGCAACTATAAAGCAGATTGTTAGAGAGAATCTTTGTGCAATATAACCGAACGGAAAAAGAATATACTTACTCGTTGATTGTTTCATCCTCCATTGTGAGATGATACTCAAAAGTGGTCACGAACAAGAAAGATGAACCGCAGTTGCAGTAGTAGCGACCTTTCTCGGCACTCCAGAAGCTCTCAGGGTCTACGCCTTGAATCTTGCGATGAGCTGTGGCTCGGCATCGAATGGGACGAGCATAGCCAGAAGGGGCTGCTTCTTGAGTAGCTAGATTAGACCCAGAGGGCCCTGCCTCACCCAACTGGTGAGTAGCTCCACGAGACGGGAAAGGACTATCGTGGCGCATTGAGACATCGTGGGTATCGTCGATGAAGATGCCTCCAGGGGATACAGTAGTGCTGCCTGCTGCTTTTCCTTTGACTAGAGTCATTGGAGCACCTAGCTCGAGCCAGTCATTACGAGAAATGATTGCCTCACTGCTATCGCGAACAGGGCGCTTTCCTTCCATACGGGGTGTAGAGAGATCCAGCAGAACGCCACCATCGGTATCCTGGTCCTCGCTGGAGGTCTCAGAAGGTGGATACTGTGGTCCAGGAGAATCTCTGCCGATGGTCAGAACGCTTGTTGTGCCATGGAAGTCACAGTTAGCGCCGTCGCAAGCTCTGTATGGCAGGGAAAGAACGGGGCATTCCTTGTCTTCGATATGTTTGATGACTGCAGAGGCGGACTTGTACTTCCAGCCACAGCCCATGCAAGCCACCTCGCGACCTTCGTGGTGATTCTAAAAATGGATAGTTTGTTAGTACTGTTTCTTGTTTCGATGGATGTTACCATAAAGAACGATGACGACTCACATTTCTCATATGAACTTCCAGACCAGCCTCACTGCGGAGCTCGAGACAGCATTCGGGGCAAGCAAAGTGACGATCGCTCATAATCTTGTGCAGATGGAGGGTCTGCTGAGACGGGAAGTCGAGGTCACATTTCATGCAGTAAGAATGTCTATCCGCATTGGCCTTGTGGTGTTGCATCTCGCTGACAGATTTGAAGCTAAGTCTGCAGTCCTGAAAGGTACAAGGTACCTCCTCCAGTTCTTCCGCCATCGCGAAGAACCTTGATGAGCCGTCAGGGTGATGAAGTGACCCGTCTCAAAGGATAGATACGATATCAAGACGTTGAAGAAGAAAAAAGATACTTGAATAGAGCAAGAATACCAAAAAGGCAATTAAAGGGGGGGAATAAAGAAAGTGGAGGCAAACAAAAAGATTGCTTTGTGCTCTATGGCAAACTGTCGGGACAGAAGTCATGTTTTGATATTGGGTAATTTATTGGAGAAATGCTAGTATATCAAAAAAGAGCCTTGAGCTATTTGATGAGACCGGGAGTCGATCGCCTGACTTTGGGGTTTCAGCCGTTTCTCGCAGTCGTCGTTCCTTCCCAAAATGGATGTCTGAATAGCCTCATTTTTGACTTGATATGGATGTACCCGTGGTCAAAGTGGCCACCACCCACCAATTTTGGGTGCTCAGATTCTCCCTCAAATTAGCATACAGCAGGCTGGATACGTCTAGATGCTATGTATCGGATTTGAGCCTCATATAACAGTAGGAAGGCAGTCCAATCGAAGATCAAAGATCCCGAGTGACTTGGCCGTTAAGTTTTCCTCCTATTTAGCAAAGACAAGACCTAATATTTCAACCAGCCCCCCCCAGTGGCCCAGCGGTATTATGGCCGGGGCATCCCCAGGATGTCGCAACGGGTTTTACTTGCTCCCCACTGTCGGTCGGACTCCTATATGCCAAAGCTCTCCCGAAGCACTACGCTAGGTAAACCCCCCGCGGACTACCACACGCGGTGACCCCGTTAGTTAAGGGGGGAGACCGTATTTAGTACGGTGAGTGGAGGTGTATAGGGGAATGGCCGGAGGAGAGGACCATGTATATCGTGACCACACTCTGTACATACCCTCCTGAGGTCCAGGAACGGTCTGGATTCATGGGGACTTTTTTTTTATGATGTTGATGTTTGATACTTTCCTCTCATGCCATCTTCCTTTCCCTCTCCCCTCCTTCTTTTATTATTATTCTTCTTCTTATCTCAATGTTCTTTCTTCCCCTTTGGGGTCACGATGCTCGATCTATAATGCAACTGCCATCTGGGCGTCAAACAGAGGATCAACGCCATGTAAGTCTACATACCCGCTTTTGTATATTCCAATGAGCTGTCATCTCAAATGGATTTGCTTAGTCCCCCGGGAATAAAATCCAGTTTTGGTCGGATGATAATGACTACCTTCTTTCTAATCATCCTACACTCCTACCACTGGTAGTATCGGAAACTACGGATCACTATTAAATGGCCCTGACTTGCTGATGGGATGCGAAGAATAGAGCCATAAAATCCTTGTTAATACGATCTATCTCTTCTATATCCTCAATTCCTAGACTTAGAACCGAGAGAAGGGCAACCTATTCATTCGTTAGATAATTCTTCAGCAAGCACAGAGACACACTTACCATTTACCACGCAGAGTGATAATAGCCCAGTTATTCCCATCTTCGTCAGTCTCCTTCTCAACCTTTGTCGAAAACGATATAGCACTCATAATCCCATCCCCAAACTTCTCATTAAGAACCGCCTTGTAGGCATAGCCATAGTTCTGCACAATCTCATACAGTCGGTAGATAAGGGGCTCCCTGGGCGGCATTTCGACGGAGCGACCGCGATCGGGGAAGCCGTTGAGTTGTTCCGACAAAACTTGCTCTGGGATGAACAGCAGATCGGCTAGCTTTTCGATGTCTTCGGGCGACGCCTTGGCCTGGCCATAGAATATGGCAGCTGCGGCTACTTCATTGCGACCAATGTGTTCACCAATTTGCTCAAAAGTCACGCCCTGAGCTGCCTTGGCTCTGAAGAGTATTGTGGATGCGGCGGGGAGGTTGGGGTGCTCTACACTCTGGATTGAGGTTAGCGGGGTTGCGGGTTGATGAAGGGCATTCTCACGTCTAGGGGTACGAAAGACATGACGGATGAATTTTGATAAGTGATCTTCAAGTGAGAATTCAGTTTCTGCAGTAACAGTTGACGGTGGAAGATGGATGTCAGATTAGGACGGATGGATTGCGGGGAACCCGGTTTTGATGTCAAGTCTATGATTCATTAGTTTATGGATGGATGTATTTCCCGTGTAATTGCATTCATCTGTGTCCTTAGTACATACACTTTCCACTTACGGTTCAATTGATAGATTCGAAAGGATTGGATCTAAATATAAGCATAAATTTAGGTCATCCCGCATGGAGATCATATGGCACGCTATGGGCTATGACCGAGGAACGGCTTTTATATACAACAGCATCAACTTAAAACTTAACACCAAAGAGAACTTGCACCTAGAAAGGATGGATAGTCCTTGTGTAATGTTTAAATATTTAGGCAAAATTGATAGTTTCCAAGGTTAATCACACATCATCTGGCCCTTGGGCCCTGGAGATCCATGCTTTTGGTAAACCAAGACGGGCATCGAAGGGTCGCTAGTGATATCATTGAACCATCTATCAAATACACGCTGGCTATTAAGTTTATATCAATATCCGAGTATCTTCCTCGTGCAAGTCAATGCTCCCTCGGAATCACACTTATGTTGATCGACAAGGATCGACAAGCCCATCTAAACCACTTTTGGAAACCACTGCGGTCAGCCAATAAACACCTACTTTGGCCCCACTTGCCTTTTTGATGCCAATCAATAAAGTAGAAATGGATAACCTTCAACTTACACTTTACCACATGCGCACTTTGCAGCCTCGGTCTCGGCCAACATATCAAGATCGGCAAAATGATAAAGAAGTCCTATATCTTCCAAATTGGTCTGTTCTTGAACAGCCCAAAAAAACATACTGTTCACAATGGCCTCTCGAAATCCGATGGATAACATGAAATCCACATGGCGGACATGGGACCGCGACCAATGGAAACTACCCCATAAAATCCTCGAGCACGCCAACGTATACCACATTGAGCTCAACAGGGATGTCCCAATCCATTCGAAGGAAGATAAAATACCATACGTATCCGACTGGTCTTTAAACCGCTGGGTGCTTGTCAATGCAGGAGTTCCACTCGTGGCCCACCAGCTTTTTACCTACTGCACCGGATACAACTTCCACCCGATCATCGCCTTGTTCTACTACTACTATGCCTCGAGACTGTTCACAACACGCGAGCTGCGGAGTCTCCGAGAGCTTGGCCATATCTATGGATTCCTGGACGGCGACAAACACGAGCGAGATGGTGTGCCCGATGTGGGCGTTTCAAAAGCTCTGATCTCGGTCCTGCTGGCCGGGTTTGTGCGTCCACTGATGACAGTGTGGCTCACGTATGATGCAGACAAAGCACCCGCCTCACTCAGTTGGGCTTGGCTGCCTGTTGAGGCTAGTCTTTACGGCATAATCCTTGATTTCTGGTTCTATTGGTACCACCGTGTCATGCATGATGTAAACGGTCTCTGGAAATTCCACCGCACCCACCATCTTACGAAACACCCGAACCCGCTGCTCACAATCTACGCGGACTCGGTGCAGGAATTCTTCGATATTGCCGGTATCCCATTAATGACATGGTTCACGATGAAGCTCATGGGCATGCCGATGGGGTACTATGAATGGCACGTTTGTCAGATGTACGTTATATTTGCAGAGCTGGCTGGGCATAGCGGTCTCCGTCTTCACGCCTCGCCACCTAACCCTTTGACATGGTTGATGCGGATGTTTGATGCTGAGTTGGTGATTGAAGACCATGATTTACATCATCGTCGAGGATGGAAGAAGAGCCATAATTATGGCAAGCAAACACGAGTCTGGGATCGGGTTTTCGGAACCTGCATTCCTCGTATCGAGAGTATGGAGGCAAATATTGATTATGATAGTCCTATTTCCATGTCAATTTTGTGATATAGAAGCATGACTATGGGAGATATATACAAGCCCGAGGCAAAGATACATAAGAAAAGAAAAGAAAAATAATCATTAATATATTCAGGAATATTTACTAGTGTCATATCTTTGATTTGTCTAAAATATTGTTATATGTGAAATTCAAATCCTGTCCTAATATAAGCGAGATAATTGATTCGAAAACTTTGGCTGAAAGATTGGATCCGAGATTGAGGGATAAATAGTATACAAAAATGGAAATCAAGGACCACCAAGTGGGCCTAGAGAATATTCAAAATCAATAGATTTAAACCCAGCAAATATATCCGCCTTATAGCGTTCTGCGTATTTGATGGCGACGGCAACCCATTGACTCATGGGAAGGCTTAGATCTGCCGGAAACGACACAACTTCTGCCGATAGTGCATGGCAATACCTTTGGTGATTTTGAACAATCTGCCTTGAAGATGTGCAATCGCAATATCCATCAAGTTTACATCCGAGAAGTTGATCTCGTGGTCTGAAAATTTCACCAACACCCACCATGTGCGTCCGGTAGAGGACATGAGATTCTCAAATATCGGTAGGCCATTTTGGATGAATATTGTACAAGTAGAAGACATAGTAAGGAAAGCTGGATCAAATCTTTTGCTATCTGGATAAAACACATACTTTTTTAAGATATGCATATTCTTTAGTATGTAGGCATGCAAACAATGATTCGAATCCATGGGGGTTTTCAGTCTTTACATTGATTTCACAGTAGTCAAAATATCACTTGTATCTAAAACCATGTGTTGGTTCTGTCTCAAAGTCCTCCTGATAATACATTTGGTTGGGCTAATGTTATATATAACAAAGCCTTTTGATCAGCTAGCATGGAACAAAGAGCGCATCAAAGAGGAAAAGCTGAACGCTAATCACCGCTTATCACTTACATATAAAAAGCTCAATTTCATGATAAGATCAATCAACCATTATCAACCTTCCTCACTATTCTCACCATGGAAACAAAATCAACCACGGATGTCTTCATGTGTATCCCACCCGAAGACGCACTAGAGGTTGCACGCGGTAGGAAAACCAATGTATATCGCAGCTATCCCCTCCCAGCCACCGTCCGCCGCATCTGGTTTTACACCACCGCTCCACTGCAGTATATTGAGTATGTGGTGTGTATATCACACAATGAGGCTGAATCCAACACAGACAATAAGCCACCCAGATACGCTTACAAGATTCTCCAGGTATGGATGTTGAAGCACCCTATGTACCTGCATCAGGCTATCGCGCGCGGTATATTTAAAGCTCCCCCACGAAAGTATTGTTGGGTGACTGAGAGTTTCTTGGATAGTTGTCCTTTCTATCGACAGTATCCAGTAAGGGGTCCAGCGGAAATCATCTGGTAAAGAGGACAATGCGGCAATTTCTTCCTAGGATTCACATAGTCAATTATAAATTGTCTTTCATGTTGAGTAATCTTGAAATCGGAAACGGATGCATGTTTTTCGGTCCTTATAACCGGGAAAAGGTGGTGTGGTTGGCAGAAATCAATGGAGTTCGACGAGTACTAGAATGCTGGATACCTGACTTGGATGCACGGTGAGTTAGAATCATCTTTTATATACCGCTCTCTATCAATCATCGATAGCGCTTCTCTCCAGCGATTGAGCTGTGTATAGTCTAGAATATATAGAACATTCCAAGGTTGTCTTAGGTTGCAGAAACATAGATCAAAAGTATCCAATGAAATCACAGGATAATTTTGATAGTGGATCTACACTAATGCCGAGCTACCCCCGAAGGACTCCTATTGGTTCGATTAGTGATCAGTCAAAGAATTCATCCGGCTCACAGTGTAACCATTCTTGATCAGTGATCAACTGTGGGTTTTCCCTCCCGCTTAGGCTCAATTTGACATTCTTCTGTGGGCCTCAAAGATTTCAGGGGTCTAGCATTTCAGGGGTCTAGCAATTCTCAGGTTCATATATAAATTGCTAATTCAATGCATTAATCTTTCAATTTTCTCACAGCCAATATACGTTTTGAGCACAACGTCATGGACCAAAAACCGTTCAAAGTCGTCATTGTGGGTGGCAGCATTGCCGGGCTTTCGCTAGCCTTGATGCTAGAGAGGAATGGTATCGATTTCGTTATCCTTGAGGCGTACCCCAGCATTGCACCCCAGGTCGGGGCTAGTTTTGGCGTTTTGCCCAACGGCTTCCGCATTCTCGATCAACTAGGTTGTTACGAGTCAGTTCTAGAGAGGGCGGCAGACCCTGTCGACACATTCTGCTTCCGTGATTCACAAGGAAAAGCATTCTGGACATTCGATAACTTTAACGGGGCATCAGTCGGAAGGTTTGTCGACTCCCAATCTTATATGCCGATATGCAAACAACAGAGCTGACACTACCCCCAGTCATGGTTATCCAATCGTCTTCCTCGAGCGACGAATGTTGATAGAGGTCCTCTATGAGAAGATCCAGGATAAATCCAAAGTGATCACCTCTCAGCGGGTGCAGAGTATTGAAAATGGCACTTCGAATGCCACGGTTACCACAACGACTGGTCAAACCTACACCGGAAATATGGTGATCGGGGCAGATGGAATCCATTCTCACGTGCGTCAAGAGATGTGGAAAGCGGCCGAAAAGGTAGATCCCACGTGGTTTGACCCTAAAGAGGAATCTGGTATGCAAATGAAACCCAAGCACGTGAGCAGCATCGACTAACTCTATAAAAGCACTACCTGCAACTTACGCGTGCATCTTTGGCATTTCCAAAGGCGTGGAGGGGATCGAGAAAGGCACGCTGAGCTCGGTGTTCAATGAGCATTTCTCATATCTTATTCCCAGCGGACCCGGAGACCTCACCTACTGGTTTCTCGTGCGGAATATGGGAAAGACGCACTACGGTGCAGATATCCCTCGGTTCACCAAGGAGGATGAAGAGGCATTCGCAACGGAACATTTGGATGACCAGATCACTCCTACGTTGAAATTTTCCGCTCTGTACAAGAGCAAGATCGCCTCGGCATACTCCACTTTCCCAGAATATGTCTATAAAAAATGGCATTTCCAGAGAACTATGACTATTGGCGATGCCAGTCACAAGGTGAGATTACCCACCAACCCGAGAATAAGATCATGCGAAGACTGACCAATGTTTTGTCCAATAGTTTGAGCCCTTGACAGGCCAGGGAGGAAATAATGCAATGGAAACCGCTGCGTCCCTAACAAATCATCTCGTTTCGGCCCTCAAAAATAGCCAGACAGGCACGCTGTCATTGGCAGAGATTTCCAAAATCTTCGAGAGCGTTCAGCAGCAGCGTGAAGACCGTGCGTGGAGATTAGTCAAAGCATCCCATGTCCGACAACGTCTGGAGTGCATGGAAACCCCCTTGTTGAAGTTCATGGCAAGATATGTGGTGCCATACTTCTCCAAATCCATGATCCACAGCAAATGGATCGACACCTATTCTCCTGCAGTGTCTTTGGATATGCTACCGCTGCCGCACCGGCCTCGAGAAATTCCCTATTTCGACGAGCGCTTCAGAGCACCATCTTCTCGGGGTGTGGTGAGCATCGTGTTGTACGCTGTGTACTTCTTCTTGGCCTGGCTAGGCCAACGCCAATTGTCGACAGCAATCAGAGAAAATGGAACAATGGGATTTGTCCGCCAGGCAATCAAGAGCCAGTCGGTTCTCCTCCCAGGAGGAGTTGAAACTCCCCTTCGCCAAGTGTACACAGGCCTTGGACCTGTTGACCTCTTCTTGAAAGTCATTGTCACGATCTTCCTACCAGCGGTCACCAATTTCTCCACACCGGAGCAGCCATTGCAAGTTATGTACTTCCTGGGTTCGATGATGCCGATTATCGCTATCTGGACAGTTGAAGGATTCCGACCAAGGAACAAATGGACCCTTCTTGCCATGCCGAGTATATGGGCGGTTCTGTATCAGCTGCGAGGGATCGGGCTGATCGCACCGCTCTATTTCGCATCGAGCACATATCTCTCCTCCCGGATATCATACTTCTCCCCAAATACCCGCACGCTTCCTGAGTCCACCGCTCGAGCGATACTGCCTGCACTGGTACTAGGATTCATTGTGCCCACAATGATGCTGTTCTTCCCGTTGGCTGATGCCCTGAACACGCGACAGATCTTCATTGCGCTGTGGCAGCCCACTCCGATATATGTGGTTATCTTGACTCAAATATTCTCCTACGTCATCAAATTGATCGGTTCGAGCACACCAGCCAAGACGGACACCACGGCACCAGAGAGTAAATCTAACTGTGACATCCCACATTTGCAAACCCTCTACGCTGTGGCTGGTGGTGTATCTGCTTGTTTCCATGTAGCGTTGTTGCTGACCTGGGCTGCTTCGGGGACAACCTTTATCACCAAGGCATTCATCCCATCCGACGCCTTCGCGCAGGTGGCCACACTTGCAGACGGTGTCTTTGTGTTTTTCCAGAACGACTTCCTGCTTGTTGCAGCGGCAACTCTTCTGTGGTGCCTGGCTAGCGTGTGGGATCTATACCGCCTTGGAGTTTCTAATGTCTCATGGCCGGTGGCATTGGCTGGTTTGATTCTGGGTTCCCTGGCAATTGGACCTGGTGCAACTGCGGCGGCTGTTTGGTATTGGCGGGAGGAGGTCATGAGTCGAACATCTTTCCCCCGCCATGGCCCCGTCTCCAGTTCAATCAAGAGTACTTGATTGTGTAATCTGGCGTTGAATGGCCAAATGATCAACGAAAGAGGTCAAAGAAAACTTCGAAGATTCGGGTGAAACAAGGATGGAGTGGATAGTTCTGAACGAGATTGAGTCTGATCCATCATTTATTGCGTTTGTATATAATGAAGGTGGGGTATTCTACGTTTCCGCAAATTGAAAGATATAATTGCACACAAGGCTCCCCTAGAGAGCTAGTAACTCAAACTAAGATCCACCTCACATTGTGGGATATTACCCTCTCGACATCAGACCGGCGAAAGCCGGCCACACAGCCGAGAGCGACTGGAAGCTGACTCAATCCTGGCTAAGTTAGCTTTTATCATTGTAGTTGATGCTGAGGATAATAGCAAATAACAAGGCAAGCGTACTGTTGACCAATTTATACTCGTCGATGACCATCATCATACTGCCAGGTGTTGCGCCTTGGGGTATCTCTAAATTCGAAAGCCCAGCGCCCGGACTAGTTGGATAGGATATCGTAAGGGCAGACGAAGGAAACTCGCCTACAGCAATACCTTGGTTGAACAGATATCTCTCGACATCATGCACATCAAACCAGTCTTCATCGGCGGGAACATGAGACACGCCATTTGTTGTTCGGAAGAGAGCGAAGCTGTCTGAAAAAGCACCACTGAAGGGTTGTAAAAAGTGTGTTCCTGCACCACCAACACTGATATATGGGAATCGAGCATCGATGATCGGATTGCAAGGCTCCATGTTGATGGCACGTCCGAAATAATCTCGGACCTCTGCTCGTGGCATTCTTTGTAAAAGTAGTCCAAACTCCCACATATCTTCATCTTTATATGAAGGATTGGACAAGAATCGATGACCGCTTTCAGCGCAAGCGCGGAAAAGTCGTTGGGTGAAGGGTGTAGTTGCATATTGAATAGTGTGTGTTTCAGCAATAGATGGTGGCACAGTCACAGGGATAGGAACCAAGTCGTTCCATTGGTTATCCAGACTCTTGGTATTAGTCGATGGAACCATACCACCGGACGAGCCCAAAAACAATTTCCAGAAGTCAGATCCCTCGGTTTGGTCTTTTAACCTGCCCATTGACACCTGGGACGCGGCCTGCGCGTGGGGTTGCTCATTAATAACCTGGGATAGTTCTGAAGTTTTGCTTTCTGGGGACTTCTGATAGGGAATATCGGCCCTCTTGAAATGGGACACTATATCATCACGCAGTAATTGGACTGTGCGGAAGAGTTGAGGTTGAGACCACTGCAACCCACTTCGGATCACTTGGTTATCGAACTCCTGCACCGTCTGGCTCAGTTGATTAAGTACATCTTCCAGTTGCTCTACGCGAGCTTTTAGTGAAGAGAGCTGGGATTGTTGGCGAGATCGGTATGCCTGTTGTGCTTCGCGGACCTGGGCGCGTCGTATCTGTGCCTGGCGTGAGCCGAGTTGTTATTTTTACTTGCAGGAAGAGGGGCCTCACGGATTTCGCATCTTCGGCTGGTTTTCGGGGTCGTCCAAGGGAGCTTCTTTTTACTTGAGTTGTGGGCATTGCAGTATAATTTGAGGATATGAAGGTTCAGCCGAGATGCTCAGTGAGATTCCTGATTTCCATGTCTGAATGCCAAGCCCGAGATATTTCTGACCGCAGAAGTACTTGACTCATATTTCATCTTGACCTTATTCTTACATGGGAATTATCATGAGTTTTCATGAATTTATATATTCGTCTCTTTTTGTCTTTTTCACTCTGAAATGGCACATGATTTGAAGGTAGAAATATGTTAGTATATATTTATATCCGTTACACTTAGCCTAGTACTACAGTCATGTTATGTTTCATGAGTATTTACACCCGAGTACTTCCACCTAATACTTTTCCTATACTCTTTTATAATATAGCCCGCAAGCTGGAGTTTCCACCATAAACCTATGAGCGTATATGTGAGATTTCTAGTTACGGCTTATTACTTAAGGGCTTGAATGAAGTTTTAACAGGCAGAAAGGAAGGTGGCCTGGGGCCTTTCGGAGTACCGGGGTGCAAATACTCATGAAATGCCACTGTACGTAGTAAATTATACATTTCACACTGTCTCACCTGTCTCACCGATTATATCGGTAAATCCAAGAATATCCCAACTTGGGAAGATATTCCTGTCAGCTTACGGAGTATACACCGCCACAATCACCACGTTCCCATAGTGGCTGGGTAGCGGGGCGTTGTATCGTGTTTAAAACACTCGCACCCCGCTTTGCAGGCACCCCTGTTTCTTGACTTCTCTGACTTTATTTTTTGTTCAGGCTGTTTCTCGTTCTAATTTATTTACAACTTTGACAGAATGTCCAAGCAGGATGATCTGGCCTATGGTGGTTACTACGAAGGCGCGGAACGTGGGTCCGGAGACGGATCCCGCGGTCTAGGCGATACCTTCAAGAAGCTTCGCGATACTTACAAGAGCCACGGATCTTCACATGGCCAGGCCAGTCAGACATACAACCCAAGTGGTTATCAAAGTGTAGGCTTCACCTTCCTTCAGCCTCAACATTCACTAACCGGTTCTCTACAGCAGAGCTACCCGACCCAGACCGAACCACAGTACGGATATGATCAGCAGAACCAAAACACAAGTGGACAGCACCAGAACCCCAACTATTACGGGAAACCTCAAAAGGAAGACAAACTGGCAGGTTTCTTGGGGAAACTTCAAGGCACTGTGACCGAGTTTGGTTCCGAATTCGTCCAAAAGATCGGTACCACTATCGACCCACAGGCATATGCCGAGTATGGTACCAGTAAGCCCAACGCAGAACACCGATTTGGTAGCTTCGCTCCTCCCCGGGAACATAACGATGCCAAGTGGTATGTGGATGGGTGCAGCTATTTCTGGGCTGTATCACGAGCTCTGGAAAATGCCCGAGAGTCGGTTTGGATTTTGGACTGTGGGTTTCAACTTCCCCAGATTTTCAGTGGATGTAGCTAACTTGACGTTAGGGTGGCTATCTCCCGAACTTTATTTGAGAAGACCACCGGCGAAGAATGAGCAATACCGATTGAATCGCATGCTGCAAGCTGCAGCCCAGCGGGGCGTGCGCGTCAATGTCATTGTTTACAAGGAAGTTACGCAGGCACTGACTCGTATGTCTATCCTTGAGCATTGAAAAAACCCAACTAATCCCCGCAGTCTCTTCTTCTCATACAAAACATGCCCTAGAAAACCTGCACCCCAATATCGCTGTCTTCCGTCATCCTGACCATCTGCCTGACCGCCAAGAGCTGGCAGCTTCCATTGCATCGTCCTTCCAGAATATGTCACTTGACTCGGCAACTTTGAGTAAGATGTCAAAGGACACATTGAAGGGACTTTACGGAATGAACGATGATGTCATTCTGTATTGGGCTCACCACGAGAAGCTTTGCTTGATCGATGGTCGGGTTGCATTCATGGGTGGTTTGGACATGTGCTTCGGCCGCTGGGATACAAACCAACACGAGCTCTCGGATCTACATCCGTCGGATGTCAATCAAACCGTATTCCCTGGCCAGGACTACAACAATTCTCGTGTCCTTGATTTCCAAGATGTCGTTCACTGGGAGAATAACCAACTGGATAGAAAGGCCATGTCTCGGATGGGATGGTCTGATATATCCGTGAGCCTGCACGGTGCAGCCGTAGAGGATTTACGGCGTCACTTTGTGGAGCGATGGAACTTCATCTATGATTTGAAATATAAGGTTCGCAGTGATTCTAGATACGCGAGACTGGCACTCCATGGAAGGCCCGCTTCCTCGACTGGCCAACAACAGGCTGGTTCTCCGCAGCCCAACTTGTACCCCTCGGGACAGTCAAGCCCACAGGGTCAGCCGCCTGCGCCATCCTGGCAGCAGAAGCCTGGTGGAGCCACATCGCCTGCCTTCCCGCCGCCGCCAGGTCAGACGTCGTCTAATTCGTATCAAGCATCGCCGTCGCTGTCACAGCCCCAGCCTCAGCATCAACAATCTTTCGGGGAATATCAGCCCTACAACAGTGCTAGTACTTCAACTTATCCGCCACCGCCGGCCCAGACTTCCTCAAACCAGCACCAATATCAGCAGCAGAACACCGCTACCCCATACCAACCTGGCAATACTTCAACCTATCCCCCACCGCCAAGCCAAAGCCCTCTAGGCTATCAATCTCAATCCGGCCAGTCCTCGAGTCATGATACAAGCAAGTATAACTACACTGGGGGCTCATTCCCTCCTCCCCCGCCTGGACCCCCTCCAGCGCAGTCCACTGCCAACACCTCATATCAGCCTTATCAACAGGGCCAGCAGCAGGAGCAGAAGCCGTATTTCCCCCCTCCACCAGGCCAGGAAACACCCCACTCCAATACCCGTGGAATTGATGACTACCAGCATGACGGTGATCGCGAACGAGGCTCTTTGGACCCCCGTCGCTTCCGAGAGGACCTGACCCAATATGGCAGCACCCTTCGTGGTCAGCTTGCCGGAACAATTCACCAATACCAGGATCGACTGACCACATATGGCCGCCCTTCCTCTTCGCAAGGCCGAGGGAACATGTCATGCCAGATTGTGCGCAGCTGTGCGAAATGGAGCAACGGCAGCCAGCTTGAGCATTCAATTGCCGACGCATATTGCGCCATCATCCGAAACAGTGAGCACTTTATCTACATCGAAAACCAGTTCTTTATCACTGCGACCGGCGATTCGCAGCGTCCAGTGAAAAACCAGATTGGTGCCGCCATCGTGGAGAGAATTTTACGTGCTGCCCGTGCCGGTCAGAAATATAAGATCGTGGTGGTCATTCCATCCGTTCCCTGCTTTGCTGGTGATTTGCGAGATGATGAGACTCTTGGAACACGCGCGATTATGGAGTTCCAATACAACTCCATCAACCGTGGAGGCCATAGTATCATGGAAATGATTGCCAAGGAAGGATTTAATCCCATGGAGTATATCCGTTTCTACAACCTTCGCAATTACGATCGGATTAACAATGGTAGTATGATAGCTGCAGCTGAACAGCAGAGCGGTGTCAACTACGAGGATGCCCGCAGACAGTATGATTTGAACACTGCTGGCCCTGGTGGATATGCCCCCAGCACTGCTCGTAGTGCTTTTGATACTTCCGCACCGTTCCAGAAGTACCAGCAGGCTGCACACCAGGCACAGGGCAGCCATGCTTCCTCCAACCGGTGGGACAGTGTGAGCGAGTGTTATATGCTCGGCGGAGAGGATATTCGCAAAGTGCCCTGGGATGGCCACCCCGATACCGAGATTGATGCGTTTGTGAGCGAAGAGCTTTATGTTCACTCAAAGGTTGGTTTCTTACAAAGTTCGATGATCAAAATTCTAACAAAAGCATTAGGTAATGATTGCCGACGACCGTGTAGTTGTTTGTGGATCTGCAAACCTGAACGACCGTTCTCAACTGGGTGACCATGATTCTGAGATCGCAGTCATTATCGAGGACTTCACACCTGTGGCATCCAGCATGAACGGTAGGCCATGGACTGCCAGTCGTTTTGCTTCATCCCTCCGCCGCCAGTTGTTCCGGAAGCACCTGGGTCTTTTGCCACCGCAAGACTACCAGCGACCGGATGCAAACTTCGAGCCCGTGGGTGTTCCCAACCAATTCGACTTTGACTGCCCTGAGAGCAAGGTCGTTGCCGACCCGCTTTCCGACACTGCCCAGAGTCTTTGGAACTCGCGGGCGCACACAAACAGCGAAGTCTTCCGGAAGGTGTTCCACGCAGTTCCAGATGACTCAGTCCGCAACTGGGCTGAGTACAAAGAGTTCTATGAGTACTATTTCCACAAAACGGAGAAGAGTGCTGAGGGCATAGAAGCATCACGTCCGGCGCGATTTCAATGGGGCCACGTTGTGCGCGATGACTTTGCGCCTGGTGCAGAGGGGGCGAAGCAGGTCAAAGAACTGCTTAGCCAAGTTAAGGGTACTCTAGTTGAGATGCCTTTGATGTTCTTGATCGAGGAAGATATTGCCAAGGAAGGATTGACTCTGAATGACTTGACCGAGCCACTCTATACCTAAGCGGGAAATTGCCTTTGCCAAGTTGGGAACATTGGAGCTATCATTACTCGTCTCGTTTATTCTTGAATTCGAGTATTTCTATTAGCTAAATTGTGCCTAAGCGAAGTTTGACTTCTTTCTTTTAGCGCTGTTCGGGGTTCTCTCTTCCAGGTCCCCGAGAAATGACACCAGTAACTCAACTGCAATCAAATCTGAAATTTGTATGCCAAGCTCGATGTGGTATTGTTCTCGAAGAATAATCGTAAGGGGAATGTGATTGTGGCGATTGGCCAACTTAAGCTTCCTTTGTTCCTGAAATCCCCATTGGGCGAACTCGAACATATACTCCAAAAATCTTCTTTCACAGTCGGAGGCCCGTTCTTAATATTGTTCTTACGCCCATGGAACACTGATGAATGTCCTAACTACAGTATCTGGGACAGGGGCCCCTTGGCCTTCTCTGTGGCGTTCCTTCATGAAAGACAACCCCGGCAAAGCCACAGACGTTTCGGAGGATATCTGATGCGGCCAATATCAACGTCTCTCGGTGTGCTGACTACATACCATTAAAACAAAGAGCAAAAGCCCGAGGCAGCGATGCCTACATTCATCAACACGAGAACAATATCAAACGACTTGACAATGGACATCCACCGCAACCTCAACCCCATGCATTCTAGGTCGATTCTACGCCTTCGTCAATGCCAAATGCATAAAAGTCAGCCATTCAATAGGACTTTTGCATTCACCTCCATTCCCCAGGTAGGATCTGGACCATATTGATAGTCCGAAGAATAGTCCTCCGTCGAATATAAATATCAGCATCTACACCCGGTTTCAACTCTTTTCTTCACCACCCCCTCACATTTCGATCATTCAAAACAACAATCCAATCTTTTCAAGCTTCCGCTTTTTAAGCTTTTCTCAATCTTCGAAATGTCTCGTGGTCAGGTCCAGAAGCAATGTCAGTATCTTGCCTCTAAAGCATACACTGCTCCGTCATCTCTATAGATTCATATACTAACATAACATCTCGATAGCTCCCGGCGGTGGCTGCATCGTCATGAAGTCTCCCATCGAGAACGGCTGTGTGGTCACCAGAACCCCGGGAGCCGGCTGCGATATCATGAAGCGCTCTCCTGGCGGTGGCTGCGTCGTTATGAAGTCTCCCGGTGGCGGCTGCGTCGTCATGAACCGTTAGTACTACCTCTACAAATAACGATTAATATACTAACATGTGTTCGTGTACAGCCGCTGACTTCTAAACGCCCTCCATGAGCGCCCCCAATTCCATCATTCCATCAACCACCACCATGGCTTGACCTAGTTCGTTGGTCGCCATGGTAGACATTGAAACGCATTAATTTCTTAATCTTCACCACAGACTCTTGAAGCACTTTCAACATTTCAATCAAAAATATCAAATCCCTCGAAATATGACCCTTCAGCTTTGCTTTTGCTTTTGTGAAGACTCCTTGCGGGTCTGTCCGTCCATTTCATTCCTTCTTCGACAACAATTAATTTCTCTTGACAGTCGTGCATGATGGTCTCCCTGCTGAGTCCTCACAGTGGCCAATGATCAATATCCAACCACTGTCGACTTTGATCTGTTCTGCTCTTTCGAACCCTTCGTGGACGATCCGGGTGACAACGGTTACTTAGAAAAGGATTTGTTTTCTCGTTCCTTCAACTACATTCGGGGGGTTTTCTTTACATACTTCAAAATCGGTTGATTGTGTTTCTCTTTTTCAATGTGGTGCGGGTTCCTTCGGTTTCTTGTGTGGTGGGTGATTTGGGTGGATAGGGCTTTATTTCTTAGGTAGAATCGGTCATGGTAGTTGACAGGAATGGAGCATTGCCTCAAAGAATCTTTTCTTTGGATCTTTTCTATTGTAGTTCAACTGTAGTTAGAGGAAAAGGTCTGTAGTAACCACCTTGCTCTATCTTGGAAGGGATACCTTCGAAGGTGATTTGCGCCACTTTCCGTGAAAATATATTCACAAGGTGATGAAAACGTTCATTCATAGAAATACCATATCTACTCAAATTCTATACAAGTAACCTAGATCTGTACTCATTTCCAGATATCAATCTTCTTTCGAATCTCAGACGCCTTGGCCTCTTCAGCCTCGGAATATTCACCCAGATCCCCTTCATCGGAACCAAATGCATCATTGACTGTCTCTTCAATTTGATCTAGTGTAAGACCAATGAGTCCCACTGACCGTGCATTGCCAATCTGGCACATTTCCTCTCCAACCGCAGCCTCGATGATACCATCACCTCCCTTGGCAGTAAGATCGTCCTCAAAGCTCCGGAATACTTGTCGGAGAGGGTTTAGGACATTGGCGCGGAAGAAATTGACGGTCTTTTCGAGATGAAGCTGGTCGCGTAGCGATGGCGAGGAAAGCAGCAAGTAGTACAGATTCAATGCGGAATGAAGCTGTGGACCTTGAGTCTGAGTCAAACGAGACCAGCTAGCAACGAGATCGGATGCTGAGCTGGCGGCAGTGACCGGCTTGAAAAGAGCTGGGAATAAAGCCCAAAAGTAAAGCGGATCTTGGAATATATTGTCGGCAGATTTAGTGGGGCGGAGTAATTCATCCTTCAACCATGCGATGGCGCTATCTCGCGCCGAGGCAAGATGCTCATCTTCCAAGATCTTGTGTATGAGCTTGAATCGCGTCTCAGGCGATGGATGGTTCTGGACAACGGCGGCCGGAATCTGGCGAACGATGCCGTGGCTCTGGCGTGCTGTACATGCAGTCAAAACGACAACGAAATCCTTGAACTCGGTATCGCTTGATGGGGGTTTGATGGGCTGTTGCAGAGAGTAGACGGTCAAAGCCAACAGGGAGTCGAGAAGCGCATGGGGTTGACCAAATGCCACTTCGTCGAGATTGGTGTGGCCGCCGACGAAGTTGTCAAATATCTGAGCCAGCTCGGGGAAGACAGATAGCCGACGGAGCGGCTGTCCAGAGGCAAAGAGGGTTGCTCCTGCAGCCCGAGCCGCTAGTAGTAGGAGCGAGCCATGGCGTTCTAGTGGAATCTGATCGGGGTTTGTTGGTGGCTCATCAAAGTCAAGCTGAGCGGTTTGATCTGTCGGGGTTCTAGATATGATTGACAGGAGTTCCTCGTTATCGATTCCAACGTCTCGTGATAAAGCCTAAGACAAAGAGAGTCAGAATTATCGTCCTTGGATATTGACAGGGCGTCATCCATAGTCTCACTTACCATAATCTTTCCCATGATCATATCGCGCTCCTTGAGCTCCTTGGTCGACCCATATGCCTCAGTCTGGGATTGGGCGGCAGGTAGACGCAAATCCGGATGCAGGTGTTCCTGCATTCGAATAGTCCACGACATTCCCGGATCCATAGGACTGGAGAAGCTCAAGAGATATGACTTCACCAGTTCAAGCAAACCGAACTGTATAAATTTCCGAACAAGGTGGGTCTCGTTATCGGCAGACGGAGAAGGCGAGGACACCTCAGCTTCGGGGTCGGGAGCTGAGGCAGCGGCAACCCTCAGTATGCTCGACTCGCTAGCAGCTCTTGGAGGTGGCGCGGGCCGCTTAGAGGGAGACATTTCGCGGAAGAACTCAAGGAAGGCTAGGGTGGTCTCGTTGGTCGCCATTGAGGTATATGCTTCCAGTGCCGCTTGAAGCGAGGTTGCTACGAAACGGCTTGGGGCTTTTGTTTGGATCCGGTTGTGAAGCACCGAGAGCATGCCGAGAAGGCAATTAAACTGTAGAATGTGCAGGGGTAGCCCCTGACCAGCCTTCTCGTCCTCATCCTCATCCTCCTCCGGGTGGAGTTGCATCAGAGACTCGGAGACGCGCAAGATCACTTCTCGGGGATTGCCTAGTCGAGCTACATCCTGTAGACATTCTGTGGACGCTGGTAGCATGGGCAGGAGTAGCTTAACCAGGTCCCAGCCGATGTTCGTCGTAAGCTTCTCATCTTGCAGGAGAGTGTGCAAAAGCGGCAGACGTTCTGGGGTCAACTGATACTCTAACAGAGTAAGATATGTCAGGTAGTCCGTAGCCGGGGGCAATGCTTGGATAAGAGGGTCCTCCATGGTGGTGGTTGACTATTTGATGTCACAGGCAGCGCGGGGAAGATGAAACATGACGATGACGTCAGCGGCAGAATCCCGAAGAAACCTTCACGGGCCGAACCCATCTCCGAACTATAGACCCGGGGGACAATTGGGTTCCGAACATTAATCTTATTGTGAAATTCGTGAATATCTGCATTTGGTGTTTCAACTCGATAAGAAAGTTGCGGTCGTATGGTTTTCTTTTATTATTAGAGGTCTACAACCCCGCGTGACTAATGGACCCCTAAGCCCTTTTAAGGTTTTCTTGGCCGAGGCCAGTATGGCTGTGAATGTCTTCATGAAGGTGATGGAGCTAGTTTCTTTGGTTTTTTTTTCGGATTGGATTTCTAATTGTGGTGCGCTATTGTTCGATATTTTTCTTCCACTCAGCGTTTAGAAATCATTTCGCTCAACACATTGGCGGTATTTGAACACTATCTCTACAGTATAAAAGAGGGACTACAACAAAGGGACTGGTTGGATTGGGCTCGGTATCGTACCTGATCTGGGGTCTGTGCATTTCCCGACACCCTGCCACCCCCAGATCTGAACTTGTCCCATAATCCCTTACTCTCCAATAAATTTGCCCTTAACAATCAGTGTTCCATTGTAGAAGCATGTCACTTCCCGGAGACTTGCAACAAGCCTCAGTGATCGCTTCTTGTGCAAATCCGTCGCCCGGCAATGTTGTTAGCCAATACGGCAAACGAATTATCAGAATCTCTGATCATCAAATCGTTAAATGCGGCCCAGATATGACAAGAGAAGAATATGAAAATCAAAGGATAGCGTATGGACTGGTGGATAGCCGCATAGCTCGTATTCCACGCGTGTATGAGTTCTTTCTTGACGAGCGAGGCTGGGGCTATATTGTGATGGAGTTTATAGAAGGAAAGATCATCGATCCTTTGAATGACGTTGGCGCTATACAGAGGATTGCTAGCGTGCTTGATCATTTCACAGCGCTACGATACAAGATTCCTGGGTCATTTTATGGAGGCGCTTGTCGTGGCCTTCTATTCCCTGAAACCGAAGACTTGGTTTTCGACACTCTTGACCAGATGGAGAAGTGGTTTAATAGCCGGCTGTTCGCGCACAACCCGACCTTGACTTTACAGGGCTGTGAGCTCGTGCTCTGTCATCTAGATATTGCACCTCGGAACATGCTATGGCAGGAAGATGGATCTCTCTGCCTTCTTGATTGGGCATCTGCGGGTTTCTATCCAAGGTTATTTGAGTTCTGCATGCAATGGATATTTGATGGAAAGGATGGAAGCTTCAATTCCCTTCTCTTGGAGTCGATGAATCCTCTATCTGATCATGAAATGGCGCAGAAAGATGCCATCCTATGTGCGTGGAGGAACATCCAAAAATATCCATTGTACGTCTAGAGAGCTCTATATATCCCTTGGTTAATGCTTATTTGCTTCAGCCGAAACAAAACGACAATATCACGCCAAATATCGAGGCATTCGACAGATCTTCCCCCCGTTCCCGCTCATCCAATGCCAGAATACCCACCTGAATGGCATGAAGAGGCTAGGCGTGAATCCTCGATACCAACGAGACCCTTTATTAATCTTCAAAGCTCGGTTTCAGAAGATAGAAAATAGAAACAGTCACCAGTCGAGGCTCTCAGTAAAGCAGCACCATTGATACTCAAAATGCATATCATTCTACCTTTTTTCTATACTTAGTTTTAGGTATCAAGTCACCAAAGTATCCATCAACAGGATGCATGGTCAAGCCAGTAGAATTCAGAGCAGTAGAGTCAGCTGTTGACCTCAAATTCACTACGTCTCATCCAATGCATTCTTTCAACAACGCTCTTGACCATTGTCCCCTCAACGACAGGCTTCATCAATATTGCAGTCCTGACCGTTTCGCTAGGAGGTAAATGCACAGGGCCACACCTATTGGCATTACCATTCTGCAGTTATGCCAGCCCATTAGTCGAACTGCCTATAATACCCGTAGGGACCGGGCAGTTAAGGTAGTTCCTATGGGCATTGTCATGGTCTACCTCAGCGCCAAGCAGTTAGCTTCACGAGGTGCCATCGATGTCAATTCAGCTTTAGCTGGCGACATCGAGGTTGACCTTACAGGGATCTCAATTAAACCAATCCCGCCTTGTAACTGACAGAAATCTGGCTGTACGGCAACGTATAGTACGATTCATTATGCAATACTGACTATCCCTCGTCAAAGTCTCCAGATCGCTACTCAGACCCGATAACAATAGATACGCCGTGATTTAGCAGCCTCCTCCATCACCGCCGCCTCCTCCACCTCCTCCACCTCCATCACCACCGCCGCCTCCTCCACCTCCTCCGCCTCCTCCTCCACCTCCTCCACCTCCATCGCCGCCGCTGCTGCCTCCACCTCCCGAATCGCCGCCGTAACTTCCACCACCTGAATAACCACCACCGCCAGAATGATGGCCACCGCCGTAGCCACGGGAGTGGTGATGGGTGGTATTTCCCGCTCCTGGGTCGTAATTGTTACTGCCAGTTCCGGCATAGTAGTTGGTACTGGCCGATGTAGTCGACGGGGCAGGTCTGGTGGGAGCAGTATAGTACGGAACGTAAGTTGGTTTGGACGCAGCAACAGCCGCTCGCTGGCGCTTTAGGTCTTCTGCTTGTTGCTTTGCCAATCGTTCCTCTTCTTCCTTTCTTCGCCTAGCTTCTTTCGGCCGAAGAAGTTTGAGAAACATTACTTCAATGTTAGGATCTGAGCCAACCGAGTCGACTGATAATATGTCAGTGGGATCCTACACTATTTGTAGAGCTCAAGGCTTACCGTGAGGTATAGTGAGAATAGTTCTGGCAAGTATAGCAGGAGATATTTATTGAAGATATTGCTGTGCAAGGTACCCACTTGTCAAGTTTCAAAGACAAGCCAAGTGAGGCTTATGATGCTGGATTGTAATAATGACTACAAACAAAAGGACGTACAAGGTAGGGATTTAAATATCTCTTACCATCAGGAACTGGTGAAGGATATCATACGAACTGTATAGCCTCATTAGGACAGCCTCGGGCAACCGGGGCAACATAGCCTCCACTTACTTTATCGTTTATGCAGCCATACGATTGGTCCTCCGGGTATCACGAGGCAACTCTATTTCTAGGCCTGCTGATTTTGTGTGATTTTGTCATCGCGTCTGACTCTGCCTCGCCCTATCGCAATGTTTATGGTCACGGGGTTACATAGCCCCGGCCAAGCTATTGAAGAGCCTCAATGTAGGAGGCTCTTTGATGTATTTCAAAACAAGGCCTCTGGAATTGAACTGTAATGACAGCTATTGATATCTTTCTACTAATAAAATAGGCAACCGGGCGAGACACTATCTTGTAGCCTGAGATGTATGATGTTCATGGATAGGAACTGCGTGGATGTGAATAAGCATTTGAAGATATTAGGCTGACACACGTCCCTTGGTAGCTGTGAAGATGGAATCAGACATGGGAAGTGAGTCAACAGCAACAGAGCTCGTGTTGACGTACTATGTGTAGAAGAGGTACCAGGAGGGATGGATGCATGCATTCTTGGATTTGTCAGCCATACTCAACCGACACGTGAATCCGTGAATACTTAGTCTTGGCCCGCTTACTCCGTCAAGAAATGTATATGTTAACATGGAAGCTCAAAGAGCATTTCGTGGCCATTCACTCGATCTAGAGGTCGATATGCTTCTGGTGAAGGGGGTTGACCTTACTAGCACGCTTATCTATTCTGGACGGCACACTCTCAGACAAGTTCCTGGAACCTAAGGATTTTGCGTTGCGACTGTCTTTCACTTGTTGAATCGGAAGCTTGAAGAAACATTACCATATCTTGAGGTTGGAAAAGGGCGCAGAATGTCAAGGACTCAGCAAGAGCAAAGGGAACAGCCGACTTGTGGGTTTTCCGTGGAGTTTCTGATAATCTAGGGATTTGACCAGCACTTTTATAGCTCATCTTTGGAACTGACCGATGGAATAGTAAAAATAGCTACAGCACAAGGCATTGTAGAATACGTAGCCCCTTCAGCCACGAAGCTCCATGGTCAGGTTCCACTTAGAGGAAGAGCCACAGCCACAGCCGCGCGGCTGGGATTCCGTCGATCGGCCCAAAAATAACTTGAATAACATGACTGCCTGCTTCATCTTTCTTTCATCTCTTAGTGACTCTTTTTTATACTCCTCTTCACCGCTTAAGCTCCCCACAGTTTTCCCGATTCCATGGATTCACCTTTCTGCTTCCGAAACTAAAAACAAACACTCCCACCATGGCCAACAACGAATACTATCACGCGAATATCCCACAACCTCCCAGCTACGACCAAACTATACCCGGGAAGACAGATCAACACCCGGCCACAGTTCCTGGATTTGGCTACGCGAGCCCCAGTTACAACCACGACGATCCCTCCGGTCCTTATCACAACCGAGAAAGTCAACAATCATTTGCATCGGATAATGGACATTACCAGGCAGCCGGACGGGCGACGGGAGGCGACAATTACGCAGAAAATATTCCCTTGAAGACCAACACCCAGTATGGAAATCCCAACGACCAATATGGAAATAGTCCAGATTGGATGCGCCAACAGACACATTACCCTCCATCACCAGGGGGTATTGAGGATAACCGACAACGTGATAACCGAAAGAAGACGGGATTCTTTAGCAAGAAGATTGCCTGGGTGACATACATCTTGACATTAGCCCAGATCATCGTATTTATTGTCGAACTGGTCAAGAATGGTGAGTTCTGGTCCTGCCTCGGTGCTGTTCTAGCATTTCAGATCAACTAATGAAATCTTTCCCACTCCAGCCCAGTTGACAGGGTCAGTCATTGAAACGAAACCCACCTTCAATCCGATGATCGGGCCCTCGCCGTACGTCCAAATATACATGGGAGCACGCTACAACCCGTGTATGAAGAACGTTGAGGGGATCCAGAATGCCAATCAAACCATCCAGTGGCCCTGTCCAAATTCCACATCGGCGACGGGAGATTGCACTCTGTCTGAAGTGTGTGGCTTTAGCGGCGTTCCCAACCCTGCTGTTTCTGGGTCGACGGATGATCGGCCGGCTCCCAACCAGTGGTATAGATTCATCCTCCCCATCTTCCTACATGGAGGGTTCATCCACATCGGATTCAACCTGTTGGTTCAGATGACGATGGGCGCGGACATGGAGCGCATTGTTGGCATGTGGCGCTATACCTTGACCTATTTCGCCAGTGGTATCTTCGGGTTCGTTTTGGGTGGAAACTATGCTGGGCAGCTTGATCCCAGTGATGGCTGCTCGGGCGCCCTATTCGGTATCCTTGCCCTTTACCTTCTTGACCTGCTGTATGACTGGCCCCAGCGTGAATCTCCGTGGGTCGAACTTATCATCATGGTTCTTGGAGTGGGTGTCTCCTTCGTCCTTGGTCTCCTCCCAGGGTTAGACAACTTCTCCCACATTGGTGGCTTCGTCATGGGTCTGGCCATTGGCATGACTATCATGCGATCGCCTAACGCTCTCCGCGAGCGGATTGGCCTGGCACGACAGCCATATGTTGCCATGAGCGGCGGAGTTAGCCAAGCTGGCCCCGAGCAAAAGACCACCTCCTTCATGGATTTTTTCAAGGGCAAGCGCGGCCTCACCTCCAGCTCGACAGAAACCCCCGGTTCTACCCAAGGCCCGCTCAACTTCTTCAAGGGCCGTAAGCCTCTTTGGTGGCTGTGGTGGCTAGTCCGTGCCGGCGCCCTGGTTGCAGTCCTCATTGGTTTCATCATGTTGATCGTCGATTTTTATAAATACCCCTCCTCGAACTGCTCCTGGTGCTACCGGTTGAGTTGTCTGCCCGTCAATGGCTGGTGTAAGCAGAACAACTTGCCGACCTCCACCGTTACCAGCGACAAAACTGGTTGAGCTTTGCTTTTTAGTTTACGCTCAAGAACAGTCTGCATTGCATTTTTAAGGCCGAGCTTCAATGAATCTATTAGCATTATGACTGTAAATAGACTTGATATAGTCAAAATTATACTAGTATACATCTAACTATGTGGTAGTCTACAATTGATATCCCCTATTCCTGAAAATCGCCGGAAATAGAACATTGCTAGGTAGATATATATACTCGTACCTTTTGTGGCTGGGGCGTGGCAGGGCAAAAATTACCGTCAGTTTACCATACCGTACATCTCACCTGATACATATTCTCATCGCATACTGTAACCCTCGATTCTGAAACCTAACTTATGGTTTCCAATTCTCTATAATGGAACAGATCCCCTGAAATTCCTCGATGCACAACCTTTTTTCCCCTGTGCCATAAACTCTCAGTCATGGCCACCTTGGCCTCGTCCCCCCCGACCTCGCCCTCGTGGCCCAAACGACGTCCTCGAGCCTGGGCTCTCCGCTGCGAACGATACTGTTGTGCAGCAGCAAGCTGCTTTCCACTCGTCTTCGTCTACGGCATCACCACATGGGCAGTATACGTCGCTGTCAGCATCGGCATCAAGCCCTCACGGAGCGACTGGATCGGTAGGATATCGGACTCGAACGGGACCATTTATCCGGTTGTATTAACATGTCGGCAGGTATCCCGAGTTCCATCCTCGCATTTACACTCTACACCTTCCTCAACCTCTCATATACCGTCGCTGTTTTCACTGACCCCGGGTCACCACTCTCTACCTCTCGCGGTGCCGATCGTCATGAGTACAGCGCCCTCCCTCCTTCCGAGCATCCGGAGTTCACATCATACACCGTCACCTCGACTGGTGAATCGCGATATTGCAAAAAGTGCCAGTGTCCGAAGCCGGACCGCGCGCACCACTGCTCGACGTGCAAACGATGCGTCCTCAAGATGGACCACCACTGTCCCTGGCTCGCAACCTGTGTTGGACTGCATAATTACAAGGCATTCCTGCTATTTTTGATCTACACCTCGATATTCTGTTGGGTTGTGTTCGCTATTGCGGCTGTTTGGGTCTGGACCGAGATCCTGAACGATACCCAGTACATGGACACTATTCTTCCGGTCAATGTAGTTCTACTGGCTATCCTGGGTGGCATCATTGGATTGGTTCTGAGCGGATTTACAGCCTGGCATATCAGCCTGGCTATACGGGGTACCACTACTATTGAGTGTTTGGAAAAGACCCGATATGTGTCACCCTTGCGCAAAGCGCTAGACAGACAGCGGAATGAGCAAGCGCCCAATAATAACTATTGGGGCGAGCCGGGCGAGGAAAGCCTATCCACCCGACTGCAAGGATATGGGAACCAGATCATCGATGCCCACGCCAATGCAATCCCGGGAGTCACCCGGGCCGAAGAGGGCGAAGAGCAAATGTATCCTATGCCGCGCCCATCAGGGCCTCCGAACGGCTCAGGCAACGTTCTCACGCCAGCGCAGCAAGCGTTGACCCGGTCTTACGCCGAAATGGAGCGACAGCGTGAACACTCGCGGTATGAGGAGTACCAAAACGACGAAGACAACGAAAAAATGCCCAGCGCGTTTGACCACGGCTGGCGACGTAACTTGCTTCACCTCTTCGGAGACCGGCCACTCCTCTGGGCTGTGCCCATTTGCAATACCACCGGTGATGGCTGGCACTGGGAGCCAAGTGCCAAATTCCTTGAAGCTCGTGAACAAATGCGACAACGTCGAGAGCAGGAATCCACCGAGGAGCAGCAATACTACCGCGAGTTGTACCAGCGCAATCTCGACAACAGTAATAGTTGGAGGGAAGGTGCTGCACAGCCGCAGCGCGTACCAAACCGTGGTAGTACGCCTGAGCGGCCTCCGACCTCTGTGTCGATGCAGACTCTTGCGCCCCGATCGCCGCGGCCGAGGCCTGGTGATAGTGATTATGGGGATGATGTGGAGGGGAACGGGTTATTGGATCCGGGCGCTGGCCGCCAGCAGGCTACACGCCGTGATACCGAGGAATGGCGGGACTGGGACTAAAACTAAGTGATTGTGTGTAGCATTTTCTCTGTAGCATCTTGAAAGGCGTTGTACCATCGTGAAAGCATTTATGTCATCTATGAAGAGTGCTCAAATATCTGCGCAATCTCGATATGGATATGTCATAGTAGGATCATTTGTTGAGAATTAGGAATATAAGCCTATGCTGTACATCTATTTCTCCCGAATATGCAACATGTTACTGAACCTCGCCCAATAACATCCCCCGCAAAAACCGCCAACTGTCATCTTTTATCTGTTATCGCTTTTATTATCTCTTCCTCTCCCAACCTCGCCCAGGTGTCAACCTCCAATTCCAAAATGTCCTCCCCCTCAACCCGCCGCCTCCTAAAAGAAAGCACCGACCTCCACAAAAACCCAAGCCCATACTTCACAGCCGCCCCAATAAGCGACTCGAACCTCCACGACTGGCACTTCACCCTCGCCGGGCCACCCTCTCCATCCCCCTACGCCCAAGGCCTCTACCACGGCCGCATCACCTTCCCAGCCACATACCCACTTCGCCCGCCCTCGTTCCGCTTCCTCACACCCTCCGGCCGCTTCGAGGTCAATCGCGAAATCTGTCTCAGTATCTCCGGTCACCACGAGGAGACATGGCAGCCCGCTTGGGGTGTGCGCACTGCGCTGCTAGGAATTAGATCTGAGATTTTTAGTTCGGAGAGTCAGGGACAGGTTGGGGGTATGGAGGGGAATGATGAGTTGAGGAGGGAGTATGCACGGCTATCGCTTGATTGGCATTGTCGGGAGTGTGGGGTTAGGAATCTTGAGGCTATGAGGGAGTTGTGGGAGGTTTGTCGGGAGCGTGGGATTGAGGTTGAGGGTGAGGTTGATGGTGTTAACGGTGCTAGTGTCGAGGGTCAGCGGGAAATTGAGGGCCTGCGGGAGACGGTCGAGGCTGAGGCTGATACTCCGGCTCCGGCTCCGGCTTCGAGTGGGGAAAGTGTTCCTGTTGGAAATGAGGACCAAGCCCCGGCGGATGATGCTGTGGAGCGTACTCTGGCTGCGGAATCTGTTCCGGTCTCTTCTGCGCTTGCACCGGTGCCGGCGGCACAGGCACAGGCACAGGCACAGGCACAGGCACCGCTGTCTACTGTACAAGCACCGGCTGCCGCTGTTATTCCTACGCAGACAAGCACCCCTCAACTGGCTTCGACAGAGTCTCCATCTGAAGGTGTCTGGCTGGACCGGGCTATCATTGGTGTGATCGTTGCTCTTGTCTTGTTGATATTGCGCCGGGTGGCGAACGTCGACGATCTGTAATAGACTTGGGGGTTTACATTCGGCGTTTTCTTTCTTTCGACTCTGCGGGCGTTTGGGATTACATTACAGGAGTTGATCTACGGTATACCTCTAGATAGTTTTTGAAATCAAGCACACAGCATCATTGAAGTAAACCATCCCTTTGTTTTTTTTTAATTTTTCTGGCCTTTTCTTGAGAAGTAGCTAGCAAATATGTTCATACATGGATGTAATATTACAGTCGCGAATGAATTCAGTCGAGAAATCCGAAAAATCAAGATAGGATCATCCACCAAGACTCCTGTAATCTCCAACAGGCCATCTCTCCCTCGCCATCAGCCTTGACAATGCCAACTTCCTCCAGCCATTGCAACATTAACACAGTTTCCCATGTGCCCATGGTGGGCTTGATCATATTGGAAATGTTACCGGCCTTGATACCGGGTCGCATCACCAGACACCCGAGGACAGGGCCAATAACCAAATCCCAGAGACGACGCACGAACTCTCCATTGATATCGTACCAAAGGGGGTTTTTAGGCGGGATATCTGTGCCTGACGATGAAGGCGCGGGTGGAAGGACCGTGGCTGCAGCTTTGTCACGAACTGGGTTGCCATAGCGGTATGATGCGGTGGAAGTAACCTCGACAGGGAAACGGAAATGTTTCTTGTCCATCTGTCGAGTTTCATATCCGCCATCGGTGAGACCAAACTTGGCACGCGGGGCATCGCGAGGTCGCATTTGAATGGCACCCGAAGCGTAGAGATTGATCAGTGCGAGGATATCGCCGTCTTCTGCGGTGTACTCGACATCGAATGCACCGGTGGTCCGGAATTGAAGATCTAGCGTGTTTGATTTGAAATGAGCGGCGCGACGTAGCTGGGAGCTTTCGACCGCACGTTTTCGGCTCAATGTCTGCAGGAAATGTTCTGAGATATCGTAATTACGACCCGGATTGACGCGGCCACGGGTTGTTGAACTGAAGACACGTTCGTTGATTAGTGTCTGTGTTGCAGTGGTGATGAGTCGATCGCCAAAGCGTTGTAGGATATCGCTCGACTCATTGGGTCGATAGGTCTCTTCTGCAGTGATGATATTTGCACGGACCCATGTCTTTGCAGCCTCAAGTTGTTCCGCATGAGCCTTTCGTGTAATCGATTGGGTGCGTGTTTCATCATCAACGGGTACAGCAAATGGATTTCGCGCCATCAAGTTGCGTTTGTGGTTGATAGTGACACCGTGCACAGCTTGGTACAGTTCATCACCTGCCGTAAGAGCATCTTCACGTAGTTCGAAAACACTCTCGAATTGCTCCCGTGTTGCTGGAAGGTCCGGAGCCCGTTCGGATGGAGAGACATCCAGCCTAGTGCTTGCCCACTCAACCAAGGCAGGCCAATCATAGCTGTCTAAATCGGAATAGTCAATGCGCGGGACTTCATCCCTTTCGTAAGCCTCAAGGAAGCACTCCTGGAAATCTCGATGCATCTTCGTAATCTGCAAGCGATTCTTGTTGAGTATCTGACGCGCTCGCGCTTCGATAAAAGACGAGTCTTGGTTTGGGAAAGCTTTTGTCACAAGAGTCCAATCGATCACTCTTGATTCTGCTCCGCCTGCAAGCACGCGGACGACGACAAGAGCAACCACGAGCTTTTGTTTGAGATCCTCGGAGATAGGATGCACGAATCGCTTTCGGCGAACGCGTTTTGAGGTCGCTGGGGTCGCCGATTGTGCTTCTTTGTCGGGGGTTGCAGTATCATCAAGTTTGGCCAGACGGCGATCCGTGGGATGAGCCCGAGGAGCCCGCGTCCTTCTTGGTTTGGGTGTCCGTTTGGGTGCCTCTTCTTTAAGAGTAGCTGTAACAGGAGGCTGATGTAGAGGCTGGCGCTGGCGACGGACCTCGCTACGGCGTACTGGCAAATCTGGTTCCACTTCAAGCTGTTTCGAAGGAGGGGGCATGTCAATATCAAAGCGAATATCGCCATGCATCGGGACTGGATTGAAACCATCCTGAATGGTTTGGTCGATAAACTGCTGGCCTCCAAGGTTCACTTCAAAGAGACTTGGATGATGAAGCTCCCATTTGAGAATCTTTTTGGTCTTTTGATCGAATCTCGAGCGTAAAACTTTGGCTTTGATAGCCATGGGCATTTCCGGCAGCTCTGGTTCGTCATGGGCGAGTCTAGATAACTCATCGACGGATTTCTCAATGTTGAAAGCCGGCTGTTTTTCTGCCACTGGCCTACCCCTTTTGCGTTTGACTGAGCACGACCCCGTGGAGAAGGTCCCAGAAGTTGGATCAAATTGTTGCACTGGGTTCATCAACATGGCATACGCTCCAATGGCGGACATTGGTTTCATCACACGTTTGGGATTTATGATCAACTTTTGCTTTCCAGGACCACGTGTACCTGTTCGAACATATGGACGAATAATTGACGTGTTCGGATGAGCATCAAGGTCCAATTCAGGAGGGCGTGCAAGTGTCATGAGTCGCTGAACTCCAGGCACGTCAGGCAGTTTATCCATTTCTTCGGCAACCTTAGCAGCCTTCGCTGCTTGGGCTTCCAGGCGTTTGATGAAGTTCGCCTGGGCCTGTCTCCTTCTTCTTGCCTCTAAGTTCACAATGGAGATAGGCTTTTGTTGTAAATGAACCTGGGTTCCTTGTTCGACGGGGAAGGAGAATCGCTGCGCGCGAGCAGGTGCACCGTGTGGGCGACCACTATTTCTTGTCAAATTTGGATCCATCTCGACATTGGCCGCAAAGAAGGGCCGGGACTCGTGGAAATCAGTAGCCAGGATCTTGCTCTGCATCTCTTTCACCAACGGATCATCTGGTGATATATCAGGCCTCAACAACAATGTCCTTGTCACCATCACTTTTCTTGTGTCTCTGCCGCTGAAAGTCAGCTGCCGAAGCTGGCCAGCATCAATCAATTGCTTGCATGCAGTATTGATAGTTCGCATGTCTGGCTTTTCATTGGGATGAAACTTCATCCATGCAGTGACAAAAGGATACCACATTGCAGTGCCCGCGGGGTATACACCATTAGCCTTTTCCATGATTTCCATGATGAGCTTTCTCCGAAGGACACTGATGGATCCGCCTCTCGTAGTCAAAGGCTTTTGGGATCCCGATTCTTCCTCCCCTGGAACCTTCAAGGTTCTGATATTAATTCTGTTCCGAACACGCGGCTTTTTTGCAGGCTTGGTGCCAAAATTGAACTTCTGTGGGACCACTGAGCCTGATCGCGGTGTTAGAACATTGGATAGACGGGGTGTCGGGGATTTTAGAGTCGTGTGGTTGTTATCGCTGCGGTCGGAGGGTGCTACGCGGCATCGCTTTGATGGAGTCCCAGTTTGCTCGTCTTCGAGTAGATGAACGCTGGCACTCTTGGCGCGATAGCGCGGTGTACTCGCTTCGATTGAGCCCTCTTGGGGTGCTGGAACTACATCCTCGGGCAATACCTCATTGGTATCCTTCAAGGGACCTTCATTGCTTCCATTCTGGGCCGTGTGAAGACGAGATCGTTTCGGAGGTATGGGCGAGTCCGCTAGCTGATCAGGTAGAGTTCTCTTGGCTCGACTCGAAGTTGTTGGGGTGGGGGTCATGACGGGTCGCTCGGAGTTGATAACTGAATGTGGAGCTTCAGGGGCAAGGCTCTCGGATGCTCGAGTGCTAGTAGCAGCATCCCGCGCCTTGTCTTCATCACTTGAGTCATCTTTCTCCTTGACAAACCAAGGTATTGATGCTAAGTTTGGCGATTTGAAAATCGCAATTCGTGACTGTCTCGGGCGACCTCGCGCCTTGCCAGCTGGTCTTCTTCGGCCATGGGGAGTCACGTACACACCTGGAGCAGGTTTATCCATGACAAGAGCTTTATATTCAGTCCAAGTCTCATCCATGCCAAGTGCTTCAAACTTCTCTTGCTTTGATAATCCCCTGAGGCTGTCGTGCTTAATTTTAGCTCTCTTGGCTCGTGGGGATTCATCGACATATTCCCAGCTGTAACCTTGGCTTGGCTCTAGCTTGGGTTCAATTTCGGATTCCAGGACTTGAGATTCTCTGGATTCAGATTCGCTGGCTTCGGGCTCTCTAGCTCCAGATTCTTTGGCATCGGCTTCTTTGGCATCGGCTTCTTTGGCTTTAGCATCTTGAGGCTTGGATCTTTTGGCTCTGGCTTCTCTGGCAAGCTTTTCCACAGTCGCACGGTTCAGTCGGCCCTTCGGTCGTCCCTTGGGCCGGAAACGGGGCTCATATTGCTGTTTAGAGCCAGGCGGGAGTCTATCAGTACGTGTACGGATCACTGCGGCTTAATGTTAGATTCATGGCAATTTCTCTTGTGGAAACTAAGGAGACGAGAGGGTTGGATCATACCATGTTGACCGTTTGGAAGTTCAACAACAAACGGATCGCTTGAAGAAAGAAGATAGTTGGGCGGTTTGACGGCCATAATCCCGTCGAGTAGAGTTGAATATGGATCCTTTAACAAATTCTTCGGAAATTCCTTTTTGGGGAATCCATGCTCATCAAGCTGGGGAAGAGCCCCAAAAGGTGGTGCCTTAATTTTGAGCGATTTGGCCTTCTTGACTGGGATCTCAACGGCTTCCCATGATGCCTGGCCAGTTTCAACAAGCTTTGCGAAGTTGTTTGCCGAATAGTGGACATAATACATGATGGTCTTTTTCATTGCCATATCTCGAACGATGGCGTATTGGCGGAGATGAAGTGGTTGGGCCACTTGCCATAGGTCGACCAAGCGATGCACCATACTTTCAGCAGGTCTCTTGTAGAAGGACCCAAAGCAGGTCCAGTTGAGTGTCTTGATTGTTTCGTTAGCTAAGAGAATCTTCATTCTTGCGAGTAGGGAGCTTACCTGGTTCGTGATGCCCGTTGTGCCTGTTCTTTCAACAATGTCAAAGATTTGGTTGTAAAGGTTACGATCCGGGGTCCAAGATGGTACGATGCGTGCAGAATCTCCAACATGCTCTTTGATCTCATCAATCCCACCGTCCGGACTAA